AGGTTCAGGTTGGAAAACTCGGGCCTCTGAGAGGGGAAAAAAGTATCAATGGTTGAACCCTTTGCAGAGGGAGGAGCATTTAAGGAAGATCACACCGAGCCCGGCCCTCCCTAGTTTGTCTGTAACATTTCATGAAAAGGAAAATAGCACAACTTCTTTCTACATTTTGCCAAGAGGCGTGAAATCTATCACCAGTGCCGCCTCCAGCGTAGGCAAAGTTTAAAAGAAGCCTTTTTTCAAGGGCAGATCGGTGGTGCATCTTCGGGCTTCTGATTGATAAGGTGTCAACCAGCAGCGGCGAGCTATATTCGCTCAATGAGAGCCGTACCATGCACCGAGGTTGTTTCAGTAGTTTTCTGGACTGTTTGAGGGTCTGCAATAGAGGATGAAAGCCATTCATCACATGGCACGTTTGAACAAAACTCAACGGGCCTGTAGTGGCCTGGATGGTTAAAGGTTGAGAGCAAGTCTAGTAGATATATATCTTGCCGCCCTGATAAACAGAGGAAGGAATGTGTAGTTCTGATCAGCTATTAAAGTTATATATATAGTTATTAAGAGGACTCTATAAATCTAGTGCCAGTAACTGGGCAGTGAGATGTATCTGGTGAACTCTTATACAGTCTTCATTATCTATAACAAAAGTAAGGATCTTCAAGACGCTGTGTGGACTGGAGAATGCAAAATCTGAGACTGCATTAATCTGTGTTGGTCTGGTCTTTGGGATCTAGCTGAGGCTATCCACTTAAAAAATGCGGCTATCTACGCTATACCGATTTTTAGGTACGTGTTCCGAGCGAGGGCTCTGATCTGAACAGAGGGTCTCCGCTCTTATTTTCTCTGCTTGGGAAGTCCCAATGGATAACGCCCATCATTGAGGTTCCAGCCCGACTTTGGACTCAATCTGATTTTACCGGTGTCCCCAAGTATATAGTCTCGTCACTCTCAAAGGATAAACACACAATATACAGAGTAAATATATGATAAACTGATTGTAAATAGCATCAAAATATTAGTATTCCTAAATAATCTTCTAATTGGCCTGTTTGATTCCAATGGTGGCTGTTGAAATATATTTAAAGACATGTTGATCAGGATGGTAGAGGAGTACTAGGTGTAAAATATATATTTCTCACTTCATACACAACATCAACCACAACTTCTACTAGAATTAACTACTAAGAGCCCCAAAGCCACTAAATCTGATCGGATTTAACAATTACCATACCAAGTATTCTATATACAGACGAATTTCCTATAATTTCGTAAGGGATATGGTGACATCGCGATGTTCATTAATATAGAGACCAGAACAGCGGTAAATTACAGTAGTTAACGTAATTCCCAGGTCAGCCGCCCACCCGGGTAAGCCGCCCACCCCTCATCCGATTTTGACGCGTTTGAATGTTTGAAGCCATCCAAATCAACCAAAACAATATATTTTTATTAGATCTAGCTAGTAGGGCGTGTAGGGCATCTAGTTCTAATATGCCCTATAATGAAGTAATTAGTACACCTTGGTGGCGCGTGTTTAATTGGTTCTAATGGTAAAGGTGCAGAATCAATGGATATACCCCTATCTCTCCTATTTCTTGCCTGGATAAGATCCCTAGCTTCCTGGATGCAGAGTCCTTCATTAGGAGTTATCTGGTGTCTAGATCTCTTTAATTTCTGCTTCTCCTTCTCATTGGCTGCGTGTAAATCATGATTTTCCTTTGCTAGTAGAGCTGCACTATGCATAGCTATCTCGCAATCCTTGATAAGCTGCTGGATAGCTAGTTTTGAAGGTGTTGAAGGACTTTGAGATCATTATTTTAGGAGCTTTTTAACTAAGGATGCTTGCTTTTATAATTGCTGAAGTGTATGAGGTATAGTAAGCTATGAGGAGCTGGTTAATTGACTTATGTAGCTTAGAGGGGGGGTAGGGGTAGATACAGAGATATTTAGCTTCTTAAGCACCCTCTCTGGCTTTAAAGGGTGGATTCTAGCTGCCGCGAAGCCATTCTGGATATTTAGAGGTATAAAGACCTCTAGATAAGCTACTGGATATACTTAAAGGAAGTTAAACTTATTAATATAGTTGTATCCTAAGCGCGTCTTCTCCTTAATAAGGTATCTATAAGCATGCTTTAATGGGCCAAAACAACCAACATCTAGTGATTATAGAAGATAAGAAGAATAAGGAGGTATGTAGATAGTAATAATATTATTATCCTTGTAGGCTTTATTAAAACTAGGTGTTAGATAGCTTCTATAGCTATCTAAGATAAGTAGATGATATCTTCTAACTGTATAGCTAGTTATTACAGGGATAAAGACCTTCTAAAGCTATTAAAGGCCTATCTTATCCATTATCCATCTATTTTAACTAACTTTAATTCTCTAATTAGGTAGTAGAGTTTAATCTTAATACCATCCTTTAATATAAACCTTCCCCTTGAAGATTATACATGAAGGAAGCACCCAGCCAGTTATATTAATATATTTAATTATTATAACCCATTCCTGATTACCTAGCTAAATAAGATGAGGCTTCCCAGGCATATTAGCTCTTATAACTACCTTAGTAGTTGTAATTAAGCCTATAGTGAAGCTAGTTTTATTAAAATTATAGATATCTTTATAGGAAATACCATATTGCATCTGGATCTTTTATAGGTAGTTAAACCACCCCTTAATAATCTTTGGATCCTTATATTAAGCTTAGCTATAATTATATCATCAAGTATATTGAGTTTTGATCTCCTCACGCTGATTAGTAAAGGTAGATACCCAGTTCTTACTAATAGGTTTAAATCCAGAGGGATTATCTGCCTGGAGAAGGATATTGGCCATCTCTTATACATGAGATGGCCTAGGGGGAACTCCACGCAGATCCCTAGATAGTATCCATTCTACCAATGATTCTTCCTGTGTAAGAGATAGTCGGTGATTATGGCCGCGTTTTTTGATTTAATATTGGCATCCATTGAGGCGGCCGCGGAGGGTAGATTTAGGTATGTTGAATGTCTTCGCAGCGCAGCAAATGCTTGAAATTTGACCTTTTTTCAAAGCAGATATTGCTAGTTGGATCCTTCCCTCTTGTTCAACTAGATTCCCAGAGATTTGACGCGATTTTGGTGGCATGGTAGGTGTTTGGATAGATTCAACATTCGAACGCGTCGAAATCGGATGAGGGGTGGGCGGCTTACCCGGGTGGGCGGCTGACCTGGGAATTACGTTATGGCAGTCTGGTTACGTAAATCTGCGCTTGTCAGTGGGCTTTTGCTTAATCAGCCAAGCCCTGTTCATTTTCCACAATTGACTGCTCTCCTCACATCTTACCCAGCTCGGTCATAAAATTTGGATTATACTTCAATTCTATAGACATAAAAGCAAGTGCCTTACTATTTTTCTTCACAGTTTTCAAGCACAACCTGAAGTCAGTCATAATTAAAGGACCTGCATGCTCCAGCATTAATGGATTTACATCTAGTTCTGGTTCTGCATATAAGGGGTTGTCCCTCTCAGGCTTAACCAGCTGTAAGGAAAAAGTTGCCTCAGTAAATTTCATAATTACCATTATCCATGCTGGACTCGTCGCTTCCAACTTATCCTTGAGATACCTAGTATCATACTCAGAGTAATATTCTATATTCTTGCGTAATGCAGCTAACAAGAACTTAGGATCACTAATAAAATTATCAGGGGATAATTTGATAACAGCTGAATTACCCTAAGAGCGTCCAAAGTGAATTCACGGTGAACTGGTAAGATATTGAATATGGCATTCGCGTGGAGTCTGCAACGCTCTAGGTGAAAGTCCTGGTTGTTCTTGAGACTATCAGCCACTAGCATGTAATTTGCGTGGGTAGCTGTATAGCCTTAAGTGTAAAGTCTCTGTTGGTCAGCATATCTGGTGTTGCTCCAAAGATAATATCTTCATTGGCCTTGAGAGCTGCTAGTTTAAACTCCCTTTAGTCTTAAATAGAACTAATTCATGTAAACACCCTATGGTCCAATCTGATCCATCCCAAGAGCTGTTGGGGATCGGTTTTCAAAAATGTTATTAGTAAAAGTAAAGCGCGTTTCTGGATACTGGAAGTATCTTTTAACTTCCCTAACAGTGTACTGAATACATTTATAGAGGTTATACTCTGTTTAGAGAGCAAGCGCCACAGGCTCAGGGTCTTTAAGAAGCCGCTGACTAGTCCAGCATAATGCTTGTCCATCCCTTTCAACGCACCTTTGAATAAAATCTTTATTATTCTTTTCCTTATCCATGGCAAACTCAAGCTCTTTCACCGCATAACCTTAAAATTCGGCAGTCGTTCGACGCAAGGAGAGGTGTAGACGAGATGCTGCTGTTCTCAGATTTCTCAGAATAAGTGACGCGACGGAAGGCTGCAAGGTATCCTTTATTCTTTGGTAAAACTTCTGATCATCATAGATTCGCATCTCTATGATGGTTTCCGCAGCGTTTTGCACAAGATTGAATCCGGAAGAGTACTAATGTTTAGCCTCTCAGTGTGGTGTTCGATGCAGCGTAGCACTAGTAGCAACCTATAGTAAATTATTCTTATTTGAAAGAAGTGCCCTTGACTGAAAGTTATTGTCCCGCACTGAGGCTTTGGCAATGAGAGCACCAGCTGGATCCGACAGCAATTTTGCAGCCTCACTAACGATCTTGCCCACGCTGGCAACTTCAATAAGTCCATGAGTCGCTATTGCTGTAACCACGCGACCTGCTAGGTTAGTGATCCAGAAGTAAGAAGTAATTGTTTTGTTGAAATAACTGGGTCGTGCAATATTGATGTTCAGCCGTGCTGCAAGTAGTTGACGGAGAAGGGTGTAATTGCACTGGGCAATCAAGGGAATTACTGCAAGGAATATACATTGTGGGCCCCAGTTTGATTATTGCTGCAATAACTCTAACAGAGAGTACAAATGTGTGATACCCATCTTCTATCGAAGAGGCTTTTGAGGCCTCAAGTTCAACTTTAGACAACACGGCATGAAATTCAATGTTGATCTTTCATGATGGCATTAAACCCATTGAGCAGGTCTCTTTTCAGGTCATCTATGTGTTCAATACCAGCAGAGACCTTGAGCAACCTGCCGTCAACTTTCTTGTCCGCAATCTTTCGCCACTCAATTAGACTTTCAACAGCACCGAAACTGCATGTATGGTGGAACATGCTGAGCTTTGACGGCAAGGACTTGGCAAGTTCTTCAGTCTTCATGATCATCGCGAACAGTGGCCCACAGCCATTTGGCATTTGTTGTTTGATCCAAGCTATGTCTTCCGTCTGAAGACTGGCATGTTTCATCCCGTCGACAACAGCCTGTACCAACCGAGCGTCACTGTTTTCCTCGGGATTCGCAGTCAAGAGCTGCGACAGCCAGCAGACCAGCTCGTCCGCATTTTTCGTCTGTCGCTCAACACGAAGATTCAGGGTTCGCAGGCTTCGCACGGCAAGCCAGGCCTCCATTTGACCGATGATGGAACCCAAGTGAATCCGTTCCTTCCACAGTTGTGTGTACCAATCATCGCGTCGGACCGCAAGCACACCATAAATGATATCGCTGTGACCACCCAAATACTTGCTGCCAGAGTGCATCACAATATCTGCACCCCAGGCGAAAGGATCCTGAAGTCCGGGAGGTGCCAAAGAGCAATCGACCGAGACAAATGCGMCGCGAGAGTGAGCTTTGTCGACGTATTTCTTGATCTCGAGCACTTCGCCCGTGGGGTTCAAAGGTGTTTCCAGATGTAAGAGGTCCCCTTCCTGGAGCTCCGATATGTCGCAATCTAATGGCAGCCTTCTCATGTCACTGAGCCGGCTGATGATTCCAGAGGCACTCTCACATCCTGAGTAACCCGGTGACATGCATAGCCGCTTGGGGTTGAGAAGAATCTGATAAGAAGCAAAAGACTATCATTAGTCCTCTTCATGTTATTTTAAGAATAAAAGAACATACGAGAAGAGCGGTGAACGCTGAAACACCAGACGCATATGTGACGACCTTTCCTTTCAAGATGTATTCAAGAAGCAGCTCAAGTCTCGTTCCGGTCGGAGACGAGATTCGGGAATAAATGTGTGACTGCGGATTTGACGATTTCTGCAGTGTTGGTAATCGCAAATCCGATCAGTATTGCGAACAACGGATTGGCTCATCTAAGACTTTGGAGTAGAGACTCACCTCAGCTGGTAGTTTCAGTTCCCAGAGTGGCACTAAGTCTTCGGTCTTTTTTGGATATCTATAAGTGGAGGAAACATGGAGCGGAGGAGCAATATCTTGGGTGTCCCCTAGAAAGTCATCGCCGTGCAATTGCAAAGAGGATAGCGACCAAGGAATGTCCTGGTCAAGCGGCTCTGTATAGCGAGACATGATGAATGGCGCGAACAACAGCTTAACATTCGAAGAGCATCAAACGCCAAATCCGAGTTTTGTGAACGAGAACGTAGCGAATCTGCATCTGGTCAATTCTCGCATGAAGCTCGACTTTCAAGGCCGACATCGGGGAACGCCTATCTCTAGGATAAAATATTGCCTAGAACCGTTATCACAAGTCGTTTCCGACAGTCCGGAGTCAGACATTTTCTTTTTTGTCAGCTCGAAAACCACGTACCTGTTTCACGTTGTCCCTGAGCGCCACGGCGACAACACAGACATCGACCACTAAGATGGCGGATCGTTATCAATAACGTTCCGTGTACCGTCGGAAAGCCGGGCCGCTCCCGCATTGCCCCGCAACCCACATATAAATTACCGCGGGCGATTATTTATCGTCGTGACGGGTAAGTAATACTGTAAGTAATGCAGTGCGTAAAATATCATCGCTGTTGTGCGTGCCTTTTACGGCCACAGGCAGCCGTCTCACTTGTACACACAGAAACCTGATTTGCCGATGCGGTAAGCCCTGAGAGGAGAGAAGAGTCGAAAAGTGGGGAAAATTTGTAATGTGGTCCCTCATACCCACAGGCTATATCGACTAGTTATTCGAGGCAGTTGCTCAATGTTACTGTCGATGCGACTCTTCGGGGATGACTTCGAAGTTGGACTCGCGACTAATCGCATTGACCCTGAATGAACTCTTATCATTTTGTATGCACATGACATATGTTCCATTTTCTGCTCGAACTAGTCGGGTGGTAGTCGTGGCTTTAGATCGTAGTATTTCGGAGAAAAAAGGACATGGAGCGAATTCTCTGTGCTAATGCTGTTAACAAAACACTCAGCAACAATTTAATGCCAATTCGCATGGATGCTGGTGAGGGCTCCGGACACATGAGAGAAACTCTGACTCCAAGGTCTCTCAACGGTTTGGAGCAAGAAACCGTGATTATCCCATCATTCCAGCTTGAGTCCGGAGCCATTCTTCAAAATGTGCCAATAGCATATAGGACCTGGGGTAGCATTTCTCGGGAGCGAAACAATTGTATTGTTGTTTGTCATCCCGCCTTTCTCGACACGGACGTGTCGTCATGGTGGTCAGCCCTGTTAGGGGATGAGGGCCATGCATTTGATGTTCGACAGTTCTTTATCATCTGTATAAACACGATGGGGAGTCCATTTGGAAGCGCAAGTCCGCGCAACGTGTTCAAAGGAGCCAGGGGACCAATGTTTCCACTGACTACGATTCGCGATGATGTCAGGTAGGATCCTTTCCACTTGCTATGTGTGTATAACTGTCTTGGACTAAGCTGGCTTCTAGAATCCATTGTATGGTTCTCGAAAAGCTCGGTGTGCGACAAGTCTGCATGGCAGTCGGACACTCCATGGGTGGTATGCATGCGCTTGAATGGGCTTTCCAAGGCGATTTTGTGCGATCAATTGTTCCCATTGCAGCCACAGGGGCGCAGAGCGCCTGGGGGATTGCCTGGGCAGAGGCTCAGCGGCAAAGCATTTTCAGCGACAAAGATTACCAAGACGGGTGGTATTCACAGCGCAAGCCACCGATTCGAGGTCTCCGGGCGGCCGGAATGTGCGCTTTGTTAACTCGTCGAAGCAAATCAGCAGTTGAGAGATCAAGGTATTCCTCATTTGGCACCGAATTGGCCTCTGGGAACACTAGCGATAACGGGTCGCCGTCCGGAAAAATGTTACCGGTGCCATCAGACACACACAAGGATAGTGACTCCTTCGCCCGTCAATTTGATGCAAATTGTTACATCGCTCTCACGAGGAAAATGGATACACATGATGTTGGACGCGGCCGATCTATAAATGAATCAGTTCAGGATGCACTTGCCACGATACAACAGCCAACACTTGTCATCGGGGTAACGTCTGATATCCTCCATCCAATTCAGGAGCAGCGCGAACTCGCAGAATCAATACCAAATAGTCGACTGTGTATCATTGAAAGTTCAGATGGTCATGATGCTGTTTTGTCGAGTGCAGCCCCATATCTGAACAAGACAATATTGGAATTCCGGAAAGAAGTTTTACCTGACATAGTCGATGACTAGCATCTAAGCATATCGTCTCTAACAAACTCAATTCAATACCTTCTTCCGCTAGTAGGTCATCACATAGAAGACCAGAGTATCTCTGAAAATTCTCACGTAGTTTGTCTTGCAGGCTAAGGGCATACGCTCAATTTTCTATCTAAAATCTAAGATCCAGTGGATTAGTTTTAGGATGATTGATTGAAACTCTACCCATTCACCTTCATTCATCTTAACTATGTTTGCAAGAATATTATTTGTTGCAAACTCTATGAAGTAATCATGTCTCAGCTGCTGGCTTCATTCTAACCTGAAGTCCATAGAAGTTGCAGCAGGAGATGGTCAGATCCTCCGCCCAACCTCGATGATCTGCAGCTTCAATTCCACTGAAGTTTTGCAAGATTCGAACTGTGGTGTAAGAGACCTCAGACAAGGCGTATTGTTCTGTTTCCATCAGGTCAGATCGGAGCTCATTTTTTCTAGATTGTAGAAACTTACGTCCAACGCATATACGGGGACCCCCGTTAAACGGTAGAAAGGCCCAGCCGGGACGAAGCTTTTCCCAGCGTTCAGGCCTAAACTGGTCTGCGTCTGGACCATAAATGTCCTTTCGTCGATGCATAGAGTAGACATTATACATAACTATCTGGCCTTTCCTGATCAAGACAGGTGACTTGCCCTCGGGACCGCCACCAACAGGAAGAATCGTGTCTTTGTTCGCAGTTCGCGCGTTGGAAGGCACGAGTGGGTATAATCGGAGGCCTGTGATCACACATGAGTAATCAGCGTTGTGGAAACCTCAATTTGAAATCAGCGTTACCTACATTCATCGATGACACTGGTGAGATATTTCATTTGCTTCACCTCTACGAAGGAAGGTGGACGGCCTTGAAGCGCCGCGACTTCGCTTTGTAATCGTTGCAAAACGTCCTTGTGGCGTGCCAGAAAATAGAAGACGTTGCTTATTAGACCAGCAGTTGTGTCCCTTCCCGCTAACAGCACACAGAGTAACTGGTCACGAAGATCCTCCGAACTTCTAGATCTCCAGGAAAGTTCTTCAAGGAAATTATAGCTCTCGGATTGTTTTCCATTTCCAGCTTGCGCACGACACTCGAGGTTTTGGTGAATGAACTTGTCGATCCATTGGTGACATATCCGAACGCTTGCGTCAAATTGCTTGTTTCGGTAGAAAGGTAAGAAAGCACCGTACCGCGTTCGATCGATCAGGCAGCGTTGGGCGTAGTTKAAGGCGTCGACAAAAGCCTGGCTCTCCTTGTCGTCTGGGTTTCCCAGTCGATCCACCGACGTCCCCACGAGGAACTCGCTCGCAGTATCCATGGTGAAATCGAAGAACATTTTCTGAAGGTCCACTACCGATTCATCGCGAGGAATGAGACGGAGAAGCTTTTCGACATGTCTCTCAAGCAAACCAAAGTCTGCGACCCGGGATCGCGCAAAGCTTGGTCGCAGCAGAGCGCGCGAATGCTCCCATCGTGCTCCATCAGTGCAGAAAATTCCGTACCCAAGGAGTGGCTGGAATGCTTTCTCTCGCCGAGTACCCAGGTCAAAATCCTTGAATTTTGTAGAGAGAATAGCCTTTACGTTTTCCGGCTCGATAGTTGCTACAATGTGGACAAAGCCCATGACCGAACTGAATGTATTGCCATATTTCTCGAAGCGGGCTCTTCCCGCAGTCAGGATCTTCCTCTTTCTAGAGTTGTGGAAATTTTCTTTCAGCAGACCCCATCCTATCAATCGCTCGGATTGGTGGTAGCGCTTTGGTGGCATGCAATTTTGCTCGTTGACCAGCTTTGATCTGTTCTGGCTTCGAACAAATACTTGAAGAAAATAATAAAGGACGGTGAGTGCCAGAGGCACTGCAACACTCTGTGATATCATCATCTTTTGAGAAAACTTTCAGGTATGGCACAATAAATGACAGTTGAACAAATGCAGGCAAATGAGTAAAATCTTCTTGGTGAAGATCGCTGGCAAAGGATGACACTTGCCCTTCTCTATGCTTGCCTACCTCTCCATGTGTTGGAGACGACAATATTCACATGTTGACAAGGACTTTTCCTCCTTTCGAGCCCAACAAGCGAGACGCTGTCAAAGCTCCTCCATAATTATCTTCTAGCTGAGCAAGCCCCACAAGTTGTACGTCGGCCTCGTGTCTTTCCTTATCACGACATTCAAGGTTCCGAGCTCGACATGACCTCTCGAACAAGAGTGCGGTATGTAACAAAACCGACAGTGGGACATCTATAGCATTCCTGTATCAATTCGTCTCATACAAAACTCCGATCATCGGCTCTACATTCGTTCCAGGTTGCGACATTTTGCCACGTACGCACACCTCTCCAATAAGGCATGCTACAGTAACATCTGCGCTTGATAGCGTTGACAGCTTTTGGCTGTATGCGACTACTGCAGCTCATAAATCCCTGCAGATAAGCTTCTTTAGCGTCCGCGGAAAAGGAAAATATCTCATCAAAGCTCGGCGGGACGTGCCGCCCCTTAATTGCTTGAATTTGGAATGCGGTCGTTAACTAAACTACGGTTTTAAAGATTATGTATGAGGGCGTTAATAATAGTACTGAAATTTGGTACATGTATTGTCACTGAAATTGTTTTGTAATGATACGGACGGCAGCAGGCTTCGGCGTCCCTGTAGTGCCCTGGACGGTTAAAGGTTGAGAGCAAGTCTAGTAGATAGATATCTTGCCGCCCCGATAAAAGGAGTAAGGAATGTGCAATTCTGATTAGCTATTGAAGTTATACGCACAGTTATTGAGAGGACTCTACAAATCTAGTGCTGGCAACTGGGCAGTGAGATGCATCTGGTGAACATTTACACTAGCTTCATTATCCATACCAAAAGCAAGAATCTTCAAGATGCCGCGTCGATTGGAGAATGCAAAATTCGAGACTCTTCAGCTTCATGCTGGGTAAGATGGTGCTCAGTTCTCTAGTTTGACCTGAATTTTGCCTGACGGGTTGTGCTCCAGTCAACGTCCAGATCCAGGAACAAATGCGCTGGCAGTTCCAATTCAAGCAACCAGCGTATGGACTCACTTCAAGTTATGTGGCATTGAGAACATGGCTAATGGGCTTCTGGGGCACAGAGCTATGTCTTCCGTGACACCGCACATGGTGCGGCCCTCTTCAAATTCAAAGAGCCGGGATATATCTACAGTCGGATGATGAACGTCAGAAATCCCCAATTTTTCAACCTCAAATCACAGGTCATTTCAAGCTGACCTTCTATCTTCCAGCCTACTGTTGATGTGCTGGAGAGGCGAATCACAAGGCTGGAAGGTGGCGTCGCCGCAGTCGCTGCTTCCTCAGGACACTCGGCGCAGTTCCTTGCCATCGCCACGGTTGCAAAAGCTGGCGACAACATCATCGCGACATCCTTCCTCTATGGCGGAACGAGCAATCAATTCCGGAACTTCTTCCCGCATCTGGGCATCACCGTGAAAATTGTCAATGGCGACAATCCCGCCGACTTCGCCAAACTGATTGATGAAAACACAAAAGCTCTGTACATTGAAAGCATGGGAAATCCGCGCTACAACGTCCCAGATTTCGAGTCTTTTGCGAGATTGGCACATGATAATGGCATTCCATTGATTGTAAGCGCTCCAAGTCATATCGATAGTGATCTGATCCGTCACTGACACAACTAGTCAGGTCGACAACACATTTGGCTGTGGAGGCTATCTGGTTCGGCCCTTTGAACATGGAGCAGATATTGTCACTCACTCTTGCACAAAATGGATTGGCGGCCACGGGACGACTATCGCCGGTGTTGTCGTTGACTCTGGCAATTTCGACTGGGGTAAAAATCCCAAGAAATTCCCCTACTTCAACGAACCATCTCCTAGCTACCATGGAATGAAATTCTACGAAACATTTGGCCGGTTGGCCTTCGCGATTCGCGCGCGCACTGAGATACTTCGAGATTTGGGCTGCGCTCTGAACCCTTTCGCTGCGTTCTTACTCCTTCAAGGCTTGGAAACATTGTCCATCCGAGTGGAAAGGCATGTCAGCAATGCCATGGCGTTGGCAACTTGGCTGCAGAATAATGACCATGTGTCCTGGGTTTCGTATCCTGGTATGACAACACTCCTACCTCAAAAATTCACCCGAAATGATCAAATAGCGCTCACTAAATTTGATTTTAGGCCTAGAAGACCATCCATCTCATCAATTGGCCAAGAAATATTTCAAGAGGGGATTCGGTGGAGTGATCTCGTTTGGTATCAAGGGCGGCGCTGCAGCCGGGACCAAAGTCCTAGATAGCTTCCGGTTGATCAGCCACGTCGGCAAGTGGGTTGCTCTAAGACCTTCGTAGTTAACGTTTGGGGGCTAACAATATTATAGTGTTGGAGATGCAAAGTCAGTAACCATAAAAATCATTAATTTTGTCTCCACTTCATGCAGATCGTTCGCCTCAGATCCATTCTTGCTAACAAATGCGGACAGGACGCTTGCCTTACACCCGTGGTCAACAACGCACGAGCAGCTAAAACCGGAAGAAAGGATCGCAAGTGGTGTCACAGAGGTTTGTGTCTGACAGCTTTTATGTGGTGTCTAGGGTTAATGCTTATTAGGACCTTATTCGATGCTCCGTCGGCTTGGAACATATCACCGATATCATCGCCGATTTCGAACAGGCTTTTGCAGCGGCAGATCGGGGAGCCAAGAGTAGACTGTAGATCAAGCGTACATCATCACTTTTGCTCACTGTATTTCCCTCATTGAACTCATCCGCCGGAAAATACAACAATTCTTGTTTTGCGACCTGTATAGGGAGATTGTCCTATTCGAGCTGAGATGTGAATAATAAACCCTAAACCGAGCACATGGAAGAGTTTGTGATGTCTTCACTTGAATTTCCTATCAACAATCGCTTGCTCCAAGAACTCTTTATGTTTTAACCAAGAATTTTTAAAGGACTGCAAGTCAGCAGAGACCATTGCGAATCATAGAAATCCTCATATAAACCAGACGACGCATCTACTCTTCAAAGGTCATGTTACCGGATTTCAATGATCAGCACACCTTTTTTAAGCCTTCTCGATTGTCTGCATCTGCTGCACCGTCTCACTCACAGAGGTAGAGTCCCCCTCTCCGCTATTGAGCATGTTCATTTTCTCCTCTATCTTGTTGTACTTCCCGAAGGCGAGCAGGAACAAGAGAGCCGTGACGAGCATAACGCCGCTCAAAGAGGCGTATTCTACGAGGACCTTGGGGTCTTTTGAGACGGGTGAGAGTGTGATGCCCAGCATCGAGCCGATGGTGCAGGTGAGGAGGAAGAGAGCTGATACGATGCTACGCATGGACTTAGGGGCTTTGGTGTATGCGTACTCCATGCCGGCGACGTACGCAAGGACTTCAGAAAGCGCCGTCATTGTGTAGACGGGGATTTGCAGGAAAACGCTAACCTGTGTTTTTTGTTAGGTTCTCGCTGGGATGAGCAAGAATGGTTGAAAGAAAGTCTCTTACATCATTTGGCGTTCTTCCACCGTCGCTGCAATATCCGCTGAGAGGATGTTCGTAGCATGGAGGTGATCGGTAAATCACTGTGACCTGGGTCAGCAGGCCTTGGAAGAGTGAGTTGAAACATTTTACTACTAACAGTCTTGAATCCCTGCTGAATATCCAATGGCACATGCCATCACCAGGAAACCGGCGGTGATTCGACTGATCGGTTTAAAGCTGAGGCGAAATCGTCTCAGGGTTGGGTAGACGATTTTTTCCCTAGAGAATGTCTTAGTTTGCACCTCTAAAATTAAATATAAGACAGTCTAGAAGTATGCGTACATGGTTGGAAGAAAGGTTAAAACCATGATTGGATTAAAGCATCCCACTATAGGCCTCAATTAGTGCTCTCATAACGCGTAAGGATCCCTGGTCGCTATACTCATGTCATTCGGAATTCCATAGGTTTTCATGGTTGCTGCCTGGCTAACCAGGTTGCTGTTGGTCTGTCCGTAACAAACCCAGAAAATGGGACTGCAATCCAGCTTAGTCTGCTGCAATCCAAGTCTTTGATGGGCAGTTGAGACTTGAGACTTACAACACACAACTGACGAAAGGCGTGAAAATTGTCAGTGCGCAAATATCAGAAGCCTCATGTCGCTGTGGATAACTCACAAAACAGAACATGCGACGAGTGCTCGTTTCAATTCCTCAACAAATGCATCGTCCCAGGGAACGGTAGTTGCAGGGTGAGTTTGTGCCAAGACTGACGGCTTTGCAGCATCGAGATTGCAGCCTTTCTTGAGTCCGACCCAGAAGACTCGCATTGCTTTGATTAGAACTGAGCCACTTGGATTCTGGACAACTAGAAATAATGAGTAAGTAACAACCATTGCGTGAATGACGGAAGGTAGATTTGTCGCTTACCATATCTTCCTCGGCCCACCGCCAATGCGCCAACTGGTAACACCCAGAAGCAGAGTGGCAGGAGAAATGCAGCCCAGAATGAAACTTTCAACTCTAGCCACTGAATCGCATGTCCGTCAGTACATTAGGACAAAATATGACATAGATGCACCCACAGATGCCGGTATCACGGAGAGTGAGCCAATATTGATAACCCTTTAGACGAGGTCAGTGTGTTGTTTTCGTAAACCGCGATCAATGGCTACTGACCAGTAATAACGACCATATATAGTCTGAATTGTGACGTTAGGATCTACAATGACATTTTCTCCGCTTGCCAGTGTCTTGATCCGGACAGGTTTCCTGGCGTACTGCTCAGCGATTAGAGGAGCAACGTTGCTCTTGATCCCTCCAAAGCTATAAGAGAAAGTCATTATGATGGAATATTAAAATCTTGAATCAAGAATCACTGACCCCAAACCAATCAAGACCAATGCAACGATGAGGCCCGGTAGACCAGCACCGTGCTCAAGACTTGCAGGGAAAGAAGTGACGCAAAGAATCAAGACACCACAACTCGCGACTCTGTTAGATTTGTCAGATATGTTCTCCTCTGTATCACTACTTGCAAACAGGGACTTAATTACCCGGTCCCTAGACAAATTGTCCAAAACCGGCCAAGCTGGCTGTCCGCTATGACGGCCCCCAGAATAGGCGCCATATAGCACCAGCCGGTGAAGAAGTAGTTGATACCAGTCGCAACTCCTTGTCCCTATTGAGCGCATGTTAGTGTCCAAATCTGCTCTCTTTCGAAGCTGCCGTTCCCTGCCATGTCTAAATACTTACCATACCCAAAGCTCCTGGTCGTAATGGGTCATCGTGAGCGTTCTCTATATAGTTCTCTGTATGCGTTCAGTTATTGTTATTGCTTTCGCCACAGATTCGTCAAGTAAAGAACTTACGCATAGGAGCCGTGATGCATCGGTAGGTAAAACGCTCGGCTAGCTCTGCCACCGCAACCAAGAATATTGTTGAGGGGATCTTATCGCAGACACGTCTGAGATTTTCCTCTTCCCATTCTGTAGGCGCGGGAAGATCATTATTGTCGCGTCTCTCTTCTGAGACGGCCATGATCCGAGTATGATTTCGTCCTTGTCGCTTCGATCACTCGAATGTTCAGGTGCACAATGAAGGCTGCAAAAAATCGTAGTACGGAGGGAGAAAAGCCACCAGTGAACCAGAAAAACAGCAGCAGGAGACTCACTGAGCCAGGTGCGCGTACAACGAACGCGGAGTACTGTTGGCAAAGTCCAAATGGCCTAAGGCGGAATAAAAGTACAAACAGCTCTTTGCTGGGCTTAGAGGACGCCATGAGTAGGCAAACTCTTATCACAGCGGTGAACGCGTCAGATATGTTCGGCCGCCGGAAGTAGTTAGATTCAGCCCACGCCCCCCACATCCCGTCGAACATGACCTGTGAAAATAAAGCTGTAAGATTTTGTACGCCTGCATTAATCTGTATTGGTCTGGTCTTCGGAATCTAGCTGAGGCTATCCACTTATAAAACGCAGCTATCTAGGCTATATCACTTTTTAGGTATCCGAGCCAGGGCTTCGAATGTGACCAAAGTCTAATCTATCTGAATTACCCGCTGCCGTGTCATCGGAGGCAGTGAGGTAAAATACCCTGTCTGCTAACATGATCTAATTTTCAGTCCTTTTACTGCAGTGCAGGCCGTTGTTGATTTGATGACAGATGGGACAAGCAATAACGAACTTTCAAACCAAGATTCTTTTGTTCTACGCAATGAGGTACTTGACTTTGGAGTGCTCACTTTATTACATCTCTTCGTCTCAAGGAATTTAATCATCTCACGTATGGATAAAGTGCCTCTTACACGGCGTTGGTTAGGGCTTGGTCAAGCTGGGTGTGTCGGCGAGGCCAATGAAGCCATGACGGCCGGTCAAGACTGAGTCTTGACTCTGAACCAAATGAGTCGCTCTCAATACGGTGAACTTTCGGTTGTGCCAGTCCAAGCTCCTCCATTCCTTCCCATCACTCGTGGTGAAAACGGTGTCATATTCCGGACGCATGAGATAGACGAGGGAGAACTTGATCTGGTCCCAAGCGTCGGGCGGAGGCACAACCCGGTGCAAACACGATCGGAGAACACCTTTCGAAAGGGCAGTCAAGGAGTCTCCCACGTTTACGATCGCGTGCCCGGGTTTGGGAGCAATGTACCGCCAGTCCTCCAGGCCTGGCATGAATACTTGCAAACCACCAGTGTTGGAGAAGACAATTGCCAGGCTGCCAAGGTCGGTATGTGCAATGTGGCCAATATTCGCGTCACTACTGCCGTAAGGCAGATACTTGAGTAGACCAAGTCCCGTCGTCGATAGCTCGCACTTGCGATGGCAGTCTTTCAGGTCGAGAGGGAGCTGCAACGCCCGAGACAATGTCGAGAGGATCAAAAGCCCTTGCTCGTGAATATCCCCAACAAAGTGTTCCAAAAGGTCCCGCTTTGAAGTCAGTGGCTCGGGAGCCGTCATGGGCATGTTGGGGTCGAGGTCGAAGAGCGCATTATTGGGGATCTGGGGCGTTAACATCAGCGGCGCTGCCACAGCTTTTTCGATATCGCCCATACCATGAAGCTTTCGAATCCATCCTTCTTCCCACCATACGGGCCCGTGGTCAAACCCGGCGGTTTATATCTAGAATCGAGTGAGTTTTTCCGGAGCGCAAGTTAGAGATCCACAATAATCTCATTAAACCCACCCTAGTATCTTGGAAACGGAGAATTTCTCTGTGCTATATTCTTGTTTCTTCTCAAAAGGCAACCGGAACAGGTCATCTGTGATGGAAAAGATCCTATCCACGTCTTCCAGAATATTATTTGTCCGTACATTGCGCAGGTCCAAGTAGAAAAAGCCAATGTCTCGACAGGCGGAAGTGAGCTCGTTCACCGTCCCAGCATCACCATCGATGAGCTTGTCGAGTGACACAGTTGGCAGCGATCCATAGTTGAGAGCGGGTTTCTCGTTCATCTTTGAGATAAAGAATATTCACAAGTCAAGTTCAAGTGACCTTAAAATGCAGCACAGGGGAGGTTAGAACCAAGATCCTTGAAGAGCCTCCTCAATTAGACTGACACGGCTGTCTGTTTCACTGACCACGTCTTGTCTAAGGTCATGCTAATTTGACAGATATTTTCATCCGATACTTATTAATCTGATGCCACTTATGGGCCGAAGAGTCTGACTCGGATATTATCCGTGAAACACCGGAACAACTTTATGTTGCGTTCGTCACACCTGCTTTTCTCAGCCAATGATGATTGAACTCCTTGAGCTGACAGCGATGTCGGAGGCTTTAAGCAACATGTGATCACATGGACACAATCATGTCTTCCGCGGAGAAGTCTACGAATGCTTGCCTCCATATTAAAATTGATACTCCGTAGGCGCCTAACGTCCAACGTATGATCATTGATTGCCAGAACGGGAGACGCGAATGATCTCCTGTTTTGGGGCAAGTCAGGCCCCACTCTGGCTTTCGAACAGTGTGGAGACAATCTTATCAAGGGTTGCTGATCAGTGGAACTGCCAAAGATCTCTTTATTCTTCCGTCTAGACAACTTTGGTCGCCAAAATTACGACCTGACGCACTCATGAAATACAAACATACAATACCCGTCCTGTCACGGAAATAATAACGATGTTTTGATACGGTTGTCTGTATCACTTATGATGAGAGAGGTGTCTCCAGAGGGGGCCCACGGACGCTCTGATCTGAAGAGGGTCTCCACTCTTATTTTCTGTGCTTGGGAAGTCCCAATCAATAACGCCCATCATTGAGGTTGCAGCCCGACTTTGGAGCGCCGCAGCCGCGGCGAAATGCACATGCAGGGGCACGGCCGCCTATCTGCGTTGCTTAACCTTCCTGCGCTCATGGACATGACCTCGTCCCCATGTGGAGAAGACGCTGAAACAAAATGGTCCTGAAAGATAAGGTAACACTGTTTGAAGAGACACATTCACCGATTCTCGGCCATAATTTTCTGCTTGGAACGTGGCTGGCGGGAGTTTGTCTCACATAGCGTGAAGCTGTCAAAAGACGTTGACTCAAGATCGCATAAGGTGGTAGGGCTATAGAACAATATCTTCTCTATTAGGTTTGGGATGGTCTCGCTCTAGACAACATCAGAACCCGGCAGTCTCCAAGTCCTCGATGCCCGTTGAAATGGACAGCTTCGCAAGAGTCATTGGAGATCAATTTCCGTCTCCTAGTGAATATCTGAAAGAATGGCCCTTGCGGCCAGACGTGGTCCATTTGGACCATGGCTCCTGCGGAGGCTGTCCTCGCATGATCATGAACGCTCAACGCAAAATTGGCGATGAGATTGAGAAGGGTCCGCATGACTGGTTTGCCAAAAACTTTGCTTCTGGCATAAGAAACGCCAAAGAATCTTTGGCGGGCTTTTTGAATGCGGACATCAGGGGACTAGCCCTGACTCAAGGGACAACGCAGGGGTTGAATGTCGCGGCCTTTAGTCAAACCTTCAGTCCGGGTGATGAACTGTTGATCACCGATCATGCATACAGCTCGGCTTTGATGGTCTTGCAGCAAATCGCGGAGCGAGTGAAATGTCGGGTTGTCATAGCCCAAGTCCCATTCCCAGTGCACAACAGTGACGAGGTGGTCGAGAGCATTCTGTCTCATGTCACGCCCAGAACTAAGTTCGCGATCATTGATCACATTCCCAGCAGAACAGGTGTGATCTTTCCAATCAAGCGTATTGTTGCTGAGCTGGATAGCCGGGGCATTGTCACGTTGGTGGACGGTGCCCACGGTCCCGGACAAATCGAAGTCGACCTCCTGGACATCAATGCGCCTTACTATGTTGCCAGTCTGCATAAGTGGATGTGCGCACCGCGAGGCTTGGGTCTCCTCTATGTTCGAGAAGACAAGATTAGTATTACCAAGCCAGTCATTGTCGCGCGCACGTGTTACTTCCGAGATAGCAGCGCGTACATTCGGACACAGTTTGAGCACGACTTCGACTGGATGGGTACTTTCGACCCCTCAACGTATCTCTGTTTACCAACCATTGTAGAGTTCCTGTCTACGATATGCCCAGGGCGGCATGCTGGATTGGTCCAGCGCAATCATCAGGTCGCTTTGGAGGCCCGACAGATTATTCATCGCGAACTGGGCATCCCACCGGCATGCCCTGATGACATGCTTGGCTCGATGGTCACAATTCCTCTGCCGGACAGCGTCGGATCTGAGAGTCCACAAGGGACCTTACCATTGCAAAAACATCTGATGGATCATGCTCGAATTGAGATTCAGGTATACAACTGGCCAAAATATCCGAAGCGAGTACTCAGATTCTCGATACAGGCACATAACAGTCTTGACCAGATAGAGTATCTGGCACGTCAATTGAAAGCAGCGTTGGAGGCGGAGAGGAAACAGTCTAATGGGCGCTCACTAAATGGTACAAGCAAAGTCTGATGTTTGAGAATTTGTATATATAAACGGTCTATATACTGTGAAGAGCCTTCTTAAGCAGGATGGTGGAAAATGGAAACATTGTGTAAGGCAGTCACAGCCATCTGATTCTGTTGTAGCGATTTTGCGGGAATTGCGACAGTTCAAAGGAGAAGCCCAACTTTCACTGTGATAGTTGCTCGCAAATCAGGCGCACCGATACCGGGATTATAATCGGCTTAGGGGAGCTAAGGCACTTTTTACCCGCTTTCTTTAGTATTGTTTATGGCATGGGTGAATAATCTGGCCATGTCTGTTGTGAGAAGCTTACTATATAAGCAGGCCCCGCTTCACTAGGAGAAGATTGTCTGTTCACGTATCTCTCCTGTTGATTACTTTACCCTGTTGGTCCCTTCTACAAGTGTTCTCGCTGAGTTTGTGCATATATGATTGTCTAAAAAGTAGAGCGGTTCCACATTTCTCAAACAAGAAGTATTTATTCTTCATTACTCCACAGAAGCAGCCATAAGAAACCAGATGAGCACAGATAATCTCAACAATGATAAAGGAACTCCCAGCCATGGCTTCAAATCATAAGTCCAACTCTGGTAGCAGAGATCTGGGCGTGGTTTCTTGTGAGGATAACAAAGCTATCAAAGCGCCACTTCCACGTCAAAGATTGCAGGATCTGTCAAATCCAACTTTCCAAGAACTCTTCGACCTAGCGATGTGGCGAGTGGTTGAAATTGCTATTCCAAATCCTGCCAACCCTCCACCACGACTGTTCCCGACCGCAGAGAAAACAAGAGACTCTTTCTTCACCGTCCAGGAGTGGAATAAATTTGGCGATCTTGAGTCAGAATACGGACGGCTGTCTTGGATGCTGTCCACCTTTCCAGAGCGAGGGGCTCCTGTTCGTTGCGCGGCCACGGTCGTCGATATCCTGACTTACCCATGTGTCCTGAGTGGGTGGAGGCAGGTCTCCGAAATACTTCGCCATCAGGTGCAGGATATTCTGATGGATGTTGTGCATTCGATGGTATCCAGACTGCCACCTGTTGACTCGAAAACGACAAAAGACGACTTTTTAACTCTGCCTGTGGACTATGATTTCGCCAGTGGCCAGGCAGAAAATCTATTTTTGGAGTTATTCCAGCGGAGTTCACGCAGAATGGCAACCCTTACGTCGAAAGGAGACTATTCTTGGATAGTTGAGTACATCCAGATTCATGCTTTTCTTCGCGATCCGATTGGAGGATTGAAGAAGGACTTTTCGGATCAAGCTATCATCTTCCAGGACCTATTGGCCGCTCTTATACAGAAGATTGCAGATGTGCCTCTTGGTGACGAACTTTGGGCTTTACTCGTGGCGCAGTTGGCTCAAGAGTCGTCGTTTCTAGCCAATCCTCAGATCGACGATATCGCCTACATACATTTTAGCGGTCATCAGCAGTTAGTATATGCTTATGTTGACCTTCACAAGCTCGCACGGGCTGAGTTCAGTGTGCCTGAGCACGTCATGCTGATCATGGAAGAAATGATGCAAGAGGTTGTTGCTAGTGACGAGTGTAACATTGTTCCCATTATTATTGCTTCTGTGCCCTCAGTCGCCACAAAGAAAACTCAAAAGATAATTATTGACGGCAACACCCGAGCAACAGCAATCATGGTCTTCAGACTGCTCTCTTCCTCAGATGCGAATAGGGAAGATGTGTTCGCCAATCTTGACAAGTACTGCTCTGCACATGGCTTAGGTCCAAAGTGGTGTCTGGATCTCCGCAACGTGGTCCAAAGGCTCTACGCCACGGAAAATCCCACGTTGTCGACAATTCGAGAAAACCAGGAAGCTCTTGAAAAATTCAAGTGTGTCACTCATCTACCAGGCCTATTGACACAGGAGCCACTATTTCACACCATCTGTCTGCAGCGAAAGTTTGAAGGAAGGCTGCGGATACTGCAGCCAATGCACCAGATGATATTTAACGACGACAGTTTTGGTCTCGCTCTCCCTGCCCGGCGCTCACAGGCACATGGGCGTCCAAAGAACTATGTGCTCCTTCCTCTTCAATAATTATTGCAGAGGTAGCTCTCACTCCTTGTCCAGAGAATCAAGCTCTGCACTTTCATCTTCCTTGGCGTTGGTTTCTATGCATTCAAGTATAGAATACGGTCGAGATGTCTGACAAGGCATTGACAGTTCAGGTCTGAGATGACTGCCCAACTGCCTAACGTCGTTGCAGTGGCTTCTATTTGTAGAATAATCGAATGAGGAGGGAAGATATGAAGATATTCATTAAATTTATTACTATGTAAAAGTATGTTTACTACTATACAAATGGTAGGAGCCTCTACCCCTTAAGCAGTTGACCTCCAGCCTGCTTACAATGAGGTATCAAATGCGTCAGCAGAAGTAGCAGATGAGAATAGTGATTTCTTTTATATAGATAGCCCCTTGTTTGGCCTCAAAACCATGATTTTGATGAGAAATCTACGGTTCCGGTGACATCTACGGTTTCGGTGTGGCGCATCTAAGGCACGGATACCCATTGACGTGTCAGCTAGCGGCTCGGAGAAGCTCATCATTGGATGATTTCTCCAAGATCTCAGAGCCAAAACTGCCAGTGGTTGGGCGAATGGTTGCTCCAACACACTAGATTATTCCATTTCCGCAGCACAGCCAATCTTATATTATCCGCCAATACGTCTCATACTCAATTACACTAAAAGGGAGCACAGACCAATGAAATGTGTGACTCTTCCCACTCAATACTGAAGGTTTGTGCTCACCAATACTGGAAAACAGTCTCAAGAAGAGGGCAGAACAGACGCTTAGATTTTGTTGACGAAACACTCAATGCAGGTGTTCTGAATTTTAGATGATATCGGTCCAAGTCCGTGTGACCGCCTAGCTTCCGAAAACCAGCGGCAGTTAACAGGAGAAGCATTACTGTGGATGAAGGTGGGGATAGCTGACACATGGGGAAGAAAATGCTTCTGGTCCAGAAATTTGGTCCGGAAAAAGAATAAGATTGAAAACTTAAACATCACCCTATCTAACGTTCCAGGCACCTTTTGGACCGCGTGATTATTGGCCAACTACCTCCTCAGAGACCTCCCAATGTCGATTCGGCTCCACTCCATACTTGGAGTATGGCTCTAGCTGATGGTGTCCCCAATTTAAGCTCTCTCTGTTCCCATGAACGCTCAGCTAACCTTTTAAACCCGTCGCTAATGCAGGGCACGTGAAGATATATCTTAACAGAGACTTTGAAAAGGGCTTCACAGAGCATCCCTTTCCCCCCGCCTTGATTTTTCTAAGGCAATCTCGCGCCGCTTCCACATACTGATCAGTGCGGCACCGGGCCCGAGAAATAGGAACGACACGCAAAGATAACAAATATCAGAAAAGTAGCGAGTCCTGATAATACATGTGCGGTGCAAGTCCCACGTAGTAAAGAAGCACCAGACCATGATGACAAGGGAAAGCACCGTCAATTGTGCGCCTTTGGTTGAGAAGACGGCCATTGCAAGGGAGCTCATGTCCGGCAACTGGAGAGCCACTTGGCTCAATATCAGCACATGAAGTGACGCGGCAGCGAAGAAGATTATATTGTAAGACTTGAGCAGGTAAGGTATGTCTCTATTGCCGTATAAGAGTTCGGGTATATTGGATTGGGGCGGATCTTTCTTGGATAGCTTCAGTCCTAGATATACTGCCATTGGCAGGGCGAGATGAGCTGCGGGAAACAAGCGAGCTGCCGTCAGAGAACCACCAGAATTTATCACGGCCCAGAAAATTGGCGGAATGTAAGTGATCAAGAGTCCTGTGGGAAGAAATTCCGCCGCCCTGATGTCGATGGCTCGAGGGTTAGGATAGTAGAACGATCGAGGTCGACTTGCGAAAATGAATATGATGAAGTAGATTGGCAGGATGATTTCCCATCCTACGACGGTGCAGGCAAGTATATATGGAATGGTACTGTTCTTATTAGCATATGGATAGCGTTGCTTTAGTTGCAAGCAAATGCACTCACCTGTGCAGTGGTCCAAATAAGAAGCTAGGCCGGTAGGACTCTACCGTCCACAACACATTCACAGCAACCGTGAGCATAAGAGTATAAAGTTGAAGCACATCGCTAACGACCTCCCTTTCATTTTCAAGGCGCTTATGTCTGGGCGCAAGCAGACTCAAGCCAGCAATAGAAGCCAAAATAGCAACCCAAACAACAGTTGCAGGTAGTCGCCGCTGGCTGGGGTTTGCGACTATGTCCTCGTCACGGGCGACAACACCTTTACGCGACGGCTCTGGCAGATATCTCAGAATATGACAAGGCGAGCATACTCCCGCAAATATTAGAGCCAGCTGATCGCTTGACATTTTGCCCATGACATTGAGAGCCATGAACTCCAACAAGGGAGTTTCGAGGGCTTCAAGCGATTGTAAGAAACTGGCCCCGTCTCGCAGCAATTTCGTTCTGGGTCGCCGTTTTCGCTCAAACTCGGCGAATCCTGCTTGGATCGTGCTGCTTGTGGGACGAGAGTTTTTGTCCAACGCCTCCTTTAATAGATCACCGAGCAACGCTGCATCCTCGATGGCGGAGTTCCCACCTTGCCCTGTGAGAGGGTTGAACTGTAATCATAATTAGCAGGAGGCCATCACTACACCTAGCTGCGTACTTCTGAACATACTTTGTGAAAGGAGTCGCCAATGAGAATTGCCCTTTTGTAGAAACATCTGTCCAACACATATTCCTGCAGTGGAACGAGAACCGCATGTCGACGACGTTGATAGATATCCCTGAAGATGAGGCCTGGTCGGATAATATCCTCTCCGTATTCTTCCACCACGGCCCGTTCATCGTCGGCCGTATATCGAGGAATGGAGAGGCCGACAGTCTTTTGTGGGTTCTTTATGAATGCAAAAAAGTAGAATTTGCCTTCGTGGCCCGACTGGCATAAGTAAGAATGATTTTTGTGGAACGATTTGAACCCGGTCTCTTTGGGAATGTCTTCTGGACAATCAGAAATGCCGAACATACACCTGTATGTACAGGTGATTGCTAGAAGACGGTCAGTCACATTAAACATAAGTGCAAAGTGTGATATGAACTTACAATTAGCCAATCTTTGGCTTCCATATGAAGGATCTTCTGCCTCAGCAATTCTCCACATCTCTGCTCTGGTCCGGCTGTGAACACCGTCTGCACCAACGACAATGTCTCCTGTAAAGATTGTGCCATCTTTGGCAGTGACTCTCACTTCTCCATCGAGGTGATCAATCTTGGCAAGCTCCTTCGACACATAGACCTTAGACTTATCTCGGAGATTGTCGTAGAGGACTTGGATAAGTTCACGGCGATCCAGAAAGCTGAACTTGTATCCTGCCCTTCTTTGGGTGAGCGGCGAGTGTCTTTCCAATGCTTTAGTGGGCGGTAACTTACAGCTCTGCCAGTAGTTGACCGAATCCGGGCTCAGTATTAAGACACTCTCCATCTGGCCCAAATATCTGCTGCGTTTCCAAGCGTTCGCACATGGACGAGATCTTCTCCTCAACTCCGAGCTGATCCAGCACCATAGAGCCATAGGGTAGGATTCCAATGCTGGCCCCCAGCTGGGGAGCAATGTCGTTGTATTTCTCCAGGAGGATATATTCAATGCCATATCTCTCGAGAATATTGGCGAGAGTCAACCCCGCTACGCTGCCGCCGATAATGATAACCGTGAAAGGAGCCATCATGAGCCGTCTACTGATTTACTAACAGGATCTAAAGTTGACTTGTTGTCCTTTTATATTCTTGCCTTTGTTGAACCTCTGCCGTGAGGAAACAGGATTTCAGTTTGTTTTTTGTTTGCGGGAGTATACGGAGTAGATCAGTCGGCTTTCGGCGTGTCTGATAATTAGTTAACCAGAGGATTCTTGGTAAGCGGCTGTGAAATATATAATACAAATATAACTTCACAAGATACAATATTGCGCCTCCTGGTGTTCCATATGCGCAGTCATCCTAAACGAAGTGATGGTGGAGAGCAATTGTTAACATGATGCACCTATTACATTAATGGGGACATTAGTTCACTTGAGAGTCTAACAAGTAGGCTCACCAGATCCACCACATTAACATGATGATCTACATTATTTATAAACTAGTAATGCCTCATCGGCCATTAAAGCGCTTACTAAGCGGAAGTGAGGCACAATTTACCATTCACTTTCTTGTCTCTGACTCTCCGCTTCGGTAGCTGCTCAGCTCAGCTGGCACTAACAGCTGAGGGAATCAGCCTGTTATCTAACATGGGTGGTAACTGGTCAAGAGCTCCGCCACATGGAGTGCGTTGATATAACCCGCCCGCTGACTCAGTGCATTTGCTCTCTCTAACTTCCAGGGCTTGCGGCTTCCTGGTCCCTTTTAGTCCCGAAGAATGATCGGAGATCAACAACGTTTGTGGGCCGAAGCATTCAGTCTTCCCACAGCTTAACTCCAATTTTCCATACTAGGGCACTTGTCAATGTGATTTCCGACGCCGGCCAGAGGATCCGAATCATCAGAGTTTCGAAGCCACCTTTGCCTATTTTGAGTCCTCTGCTGATCCCAGGCATCTCGCGTACTATTGGTCTTTTGGCCTTGAACTTTGATTAGGATCCGGCTAATTTCATGATTAAGCAGCTCTACCTAATGTGGTAACCTAACATATATCCCGGCTATAATCTACTTCTTTACTTGATAAATAAAGCGAATAGATGGTTCGGTCCGAATTCTTGGCCGGTTGGCACCGAACCTCCGCTCCGAAACTTTTTTGGTGCCAAATTTTAGAAATCGCAACCCGCCCTGGCTCATTTCAGGGCAATTTCTTTGAAAAGACCGCTACCAAGCGTGGATAGGGAGTAATCAGCCCACGTAGATAGACGAGATCTAAAATAATCTATATAGTCCCTCTAGGAAATCCATTAGCACAGCTAACCCTAACAGGTATACTAGGGTCTCTTAGTTACCTAGTATGGTCTGTAACCATAAGAGGCATGATTAGATGCAACTAGATTAGTTGAGCTAAATAATAGCTAGACCATCTGGGTCAGATATCGGGGGGAGGCAGGCGCGGCAGATGCAGTGGCAAGTGGTGGGAGACATACGCGAGAGGCTGATGAGGCCGTGATAGCCAGTATAGGACAATCTGTACGGGGAGTCTGACATGTGACTCATTTATGTACTTAAGGGTGGCCAATTACTGTTTTTCATGTCTCAGGGCATATCTTCGTGCTTTCTTTGCATCAGAGGTAGAAGTCCTATGTATCATTAATGGTAGATTGAATTAATATGAGTTGCTTCTAGCTCGAAAGCACATGGGCGAACATAATGGCTTTTTGCTCGAAAACCGGAGCGGGCCAGCTTACTTTGCTGCCTTTCCTCCGGGCAAGCAAAACACCAATTGACAGGAATATTGACCCTAGGCAGAACTTTGATACCCATCTCTCTCGAGATCCCGTTTCTCGCCAAAACGCCATTCTCCACAGCCTCTCCACTGCGTCCTGGAGGCTCATTCCCCCGCGAACCGGCTTAAGCTCCCCTTATATGCCCCTGTCCTTTATATGCCCTTGTTCTTTTAAGCCCCTAATACCTACGCCTTTGCTCTCCAGCGTATGCAAAGCTTAAACGAAGCCTTTTTCATGGACAGATCGGTGGTGCATCTTCGGGCTTCTAATTGGTAAGGTGTCAACCAGCAGCTATGAGCTATACTCGCTCAATAAGAGTCATACCATTCACCGACGTTGGTTCAGTAGTTTTCTGAACTGGTTGAGGATCCGCAATAGAGGATGAAACCGTTCATGACATGGCATGTGTGACCAAACTCAGATAACGCAATCTTGTGTCCCCAGTATTTCCGGATTTCCACCTATCAGGCCGGGCATCCGCGTTTATTTCCTCCAAGCATTGGCAGATCCTTGAACTTTATCAACTTACAAAACACTGAGTGCAAGTTTCCCGGAGCAGATACGAGAGTTAGAAGATCAGAGCACGGTAAGCAAAGGCATGGTTAACTATAGAGCAACTATGGGGCTAATACAAAATCCACCAATGCACCGAAGCGAGACTCCTGCAACGGCCATTCCTGGTTGTCGAGATACTGTGTCTGCAACAGCTCCGCGGACCGGCAGTAACCCCAAGGGAACATTGATGTACGCAATTTCCCTGTCAAGGATTTGAATTCCGCAGCGCACCAAAGATGTTGGCCAAACTTTTTGTTGTGGCCTCTTATTTCGGCGAATCTCACATGCTTCGCAGCTGCTGAACCCATTGCTGGCCCTATCCGATTTTGTGCCCAACTCAGTCTACGGGCATCCATATGCACGCCCAAAGCAGGCGGCTCGTCCACTGTGGACGATGTCCCCACCATTCAGTCTGTTATCAACAGAGGCCCAAGTGGTATTATTGTCGCCCTAAAAGGTCAGAGGTACTACATTAACAGCTAACTCTCCTTTACCGGCTGTATCTGATGCAGCTTTGAGCGACTAGGCGAGCTCTCTGTGACGACGGACTTTAAGTACTGGGACAACAGACCCTGGCAGCGCGGGAGGTCAGTCCAGCAACATTATTGTCATCTGCATGTGTTTAAACCCAGGGCAAGAATACAATGCGACAGTATACCACCAACGCTGCAGGTTTTGGAATAAGCTACGTCGGCCGGTCTTGCACCAGTCATATGTTCAGAGTCTCCTAGTGGATGAAACACTGGAATTGAATTTCGGTAGACAAGTGTGAAAATGATGTAGTGCAAGATATATCAGGAGGTTGATATCTGGTTGTTTGGCAGATTAGGACCTTGATCCTATGCAAAAACAGGTTCTTGCAGGAACGTGAACTTGAACCTAAGTCGCTTGCGGTCTGGGTTTGGGTTCGGGCTTTCTATCTTCGACCCAGACCGTGCGCGGGGTAGTTTTGGGTTGAGGTTCTTAGACCCATCTGCGGATTTCGATGAACTGTGTGAAGTCGGCTTACCGAGAACTGGGGAGATATTCTGGCGCAAGATTGACTGTTTTTGATCTGTAGATCCGAAAAAGGAGCCCCAGTACCGAATACGAGCACGAACCCGAACCCGGCCCTGATCTTCCAACCCTTTGCTACACGTAGGTTACTGCATAAACTATGTGAGCTAGGGGACGCTACTTTAATCGTACACAGAGTATATAAATATGCTACTACTAAGTCAGAAAAGACGACGCATTAAATTTATCTTGAGATCCAACAAGAACAACTTGGACTATACTACAATCACAATCTCTAATCACTATCAAGAATGCGCTTTGGACCGTCCTCACTGGCAGTAGCCGTGTCACTTTGCTGCTCAGTCGCTCAATGCGCGCAAGACCGTGTTATTTCGCTTGGCAATAAGCGGTTCAATGGCACGTCGAAGGTCGAATTCACTTCCCAGGCACTAGGTCAAGCCGATTTTTTCAAACTTGATCCAGCCCCAAACGCCACTACCTTTGACTCGCGAGTTTCCCTTTTCCCTTGGAGTTATTCGTGTCCAATGCCCTAATAATGGTTCTAGATGGTATTTCGATGCTATGAACCCTTCGACCAAGGAGACTGTGGTATTCAACTTTGAAGTGCAGTGGCCAGTCGATCCGAGTATCCCGGCGTCAGAAATGCTTTATCGAGTTACCATATTTGGAGTCTTTGCCAATGGAACAACCTACAGCTACGCCGTTGAGGCGGAGAATGTCAAAATCACTGAAAGAGAAGATAAAAGTATGCGTGTGGACTTTTTTGGCGGCAACGAATTCGGTTGGTCAGGATCGAGCCTCTTGAAGCCAAGACCCGTCTACATAGCGACTCTCAACGCGCCTGAAGTAGGGATTAGAGGAAGCGTAACTCTTCAAGGAAATGTAAGGATCTTCCTTTCCATTGACAGATCAGTCTTTATTATTGTATTAACGCACTCTTCATTCTAAAGACTGTTGCGCCTCACTATTCCTGCGGCAGTGATGCTGCAGGTGTTGATGAACAGATTATCACCGGAATTGGTTGGGCAAACGCATTGCCGGATGCTAATGCCGCAGTATCCCTCCAAATACGCGATACATCCATGACATTCGAAGGGTATGGTTACCATGATAAGACCTGGGTTGACCGCCCCTTTGGGGACGCGCTCCAATCCGCCTTTTGGGGTCACGCTCGCCTCGGGTCTTATGCTGTTGTGTGGTGGCATTCGCGTGCTCAAGACGGCGCGGACATTAGTGCAGAATATCTTGCTACGTGGGAGGATGGACATGTCATCGCGTCTCGTTGCGTTAGCAACCCTAACAACACTCTAGGCTGGGGAGACGGTCAGATATGGCCCCTTCTTCCTGGAACCCCAGCACCGAGGGGCATGCTCCTGCACTGGGACCTTGGAGATGCCGGTATTTTTGTGGCGAACATGACGAGTCAAGATATATTTGCCGACGTTCCTCAGTGGATGGCTGGCCGAGGATCTATAACTGGGGGGTTTGAAGGTCAAGAAACTTACACCGATGAAACTGGAGTGTGGACACTTAACCAACTTCAACCATTGTGAACCGGGTGGTACACTGATATTCGAAATTGGCTTCCATGTTTCAAACAGAGAAACTATCTGGAACCCCGAGGCCAAGGACACAGTGAAAGCCTATCTAGACCAGGCGCAGCTTGGCTGCAGATCACCCCAGCCCTATCAGTCTCTTATCGCTAGATTGCTAATTTTCATCCATTTCTACTTCTCTGTCCATTTGTGCATGGTTTTTTATGGAGATTACATCTACTACCTCTTTGTCGGCCACCTCTGAACTGGTCACCACACCCATCATGGCCGGAGGTTCCAGCAATGGTGGCAGCAAGTATTTTATTATATGAGGTTCGTGACGCCGTCCCATTGGACATAGTTGCGCGCTAAAACATTTGTATAATCTTCCTACGGTGTGGATTTCATTGTCCAGGTCAGCGACGCCGTCATCGGGTTCTATAGTCATAATCACATGTCATGTTCCAGATCAGGATACACTAACCGATCTTTAGTAGTATTCCTGACTATCGTATGAGAATAGACGGCGATATATGCAATAGATCATCTTAATCTAGGACAAGTGTCGCTAGAATGCGGTGGATTTGTAGAACAACGCTTTCCCAAATAGATGCAGCTTAAGCGAAAGCAGCTCGTATTCGACCGCCACAGACACTCAGCCGCCCGAACAGCGTGCGGAGAACCGCAGCCTATTGGACAAGGGGTTAATTCTCGGGTGCGGCACAGGGGTCTTCATTCATGGCAACAGTTTACCCGCAGCGACGCCCAATCAACTTCCTTTGTCGAGCAGCTTAATCACAACAAGCCGTCAAGCTCGCTGCTTAACAGTGCGCCCTTTGGTGTGCCATGCAAAACACCCGAACCCAAGCGGAGATGACTGAAGGTCGAGGCTGGTGTTTGGGTTGCAGGAGGGTACTTATACTAGATCGATTATACTAGATCGATTGCCGCTCGGAGATTCTCGATTGACTCTTATATTTTGCCATATACCAACATAACCCATAATGTTGTCCAGAACAACACTCGCCGCCTTTATGGCAGCAGGTGCTGCTACACTGGCGCTCGCTCAAACCAACATCACCGCTGATGTCTGCGCTGACCCCTCCACCTTTACCAGCTGCACAGCGAAAGCAGATGCGGACGCCAAGGCATGCATGAATGTTTGCAACGGAAACAAGCTCTGCGTTCTGAGCTGCGGATGCGCCATGTACCAGGCTTACATGAACTGCGTCGGCGAGTCGTGCTGGAATCAGGTACATTTCCTCTTCTTTCCTCATGCATACGTCTAATCACTTGATGCAGGCGTACTCGTGCGAATACGGCAAACTGGTCGCAACGTACTTTGCCGAATGTCCCATAGCCTCCGAACCGGTCCCTTTTTGGCCTGCGCCCGATAACGCTCCCGGCGGCTGCTCGTGTAACCTCGGCAAGGTGCTGCAGGCGACACTGAATGCACAGAAGGAGAACAATGCATGCTTGACTAACAAGACGACAACAAACATCATTGAACTGAGCAAGAAGTATACTGCATGTGGGTGCTGCGAGGTCAGCGCCGGGTTGTCAGCGTACGTCGCCACGCCTGTCCGCACCATAGTTACTGACAAAAAGGGACAGGATGTACGAGACCTGCCCCGACACCATTCCCGCCGACATGGGCGCAGACCTCTGGCTTCAAGTGTCTACCATATACGGCTCCGTCGTCCACTGGGGCTCGTGCGGCAGTGCGATGGATGCATATGACTGTGGAAAGCTGGGCTTTGCACCGAACTCGAGCACGTTCTACAAGCCGGACAACCTGCCCCCGAACGGTACGCAAACGCTGTATAATACTGGCGCGGCGAATGCGCTTACTGCCCCGCCGAGCGGATCGGTTTTCACCTGGTCACAGTCCAGCGTCACGTACACCGTGACGGCGTCGCCGTGGAAGAATAACCAGGTCAAGGCGACTGGGACCGGTAATGCAGGGACTGCTGGGGCGACTGGTGCTGCTGCGACCGGGTCCGCGAAGAGTGGAGCGACTGCGTCGAGGCAGCTGTCGCTGGGGAATCCCGCTGTCTGGATCCCGGCCATCGCTGCGGTTGCTAAACTTGTGCTTGGTCAATAGATTCGCTGACACGCTGGAGTTGTTCCGGGAATGTACGCGTAGTGGCAGTGGCACGTTCAATATCTACCTAGCGTCCGTCATGCATTCTACCATTACCCCAAATTCGGGCGAGAGGTTCAGTTACAAATGCGCCAGAACTGCATCCGCACCGAAAACTGCCACGATTAGAAACCTTCCATCCCCTAAACAGAAGGGCAATATACCTTGACAACCCCCTTCTCCGTCTCAATCTGCGCATACGTCCCCTTCTCATACTTAGGCACTTGACACAGCACGTCGGCGGCAACGGATCACGGTTTACGGGGGCTATGATCCTCTCCTATTTTCCTGTTGGATTGAGCATTGAATTGGTGTTTGTGCTGCTTGGAACGATCTTCACCTTCCTGATACTCACACGGCTTCTGTCCCTAACGACAGTACTGCATAATTAGTCCTGCATGCTCAGCGAGATATGCATACTCCATGTAGCCTTACTATCGTTGGTAACCCTGCATTTTTGGATGGAATCCATAAGGTTACCTGGCTGCTATATCTGACCAGCGCGTTAAAACAGCAATCCTGATTGTGTATAAATGCAATCAAAATTTGAGCTGAAGAGCTTAGAAATGCTCATAGGGATCGATTCTTAACATAGACGCAAATCTAGTCATCGTAAAGCCAACTTAGGGGATGAGAATATAATGTGTGTGAGGGCAGTCTATCAAAAAGAATACACTACCCAGTTACTCTAGAGATGGTATGGTGGCTCTGTGCCCTCAACCGTAGCGTAGATGGCTGTAATAGCCTCAGCGAGCTCGGCAGGGAGGGGTCCAGCCTCACGTGCGTCAAGAGTCTTGTGGAACTGATCCATATTGGAAACCGCAAAGATCACCCCATCACCGTACTTCCCATCCAAGGCACTATGGAACGCAGTCCATCGCAGGGCAGCCGCATGTCCGCTGATACCATGTTTCTCAGCAACTTCTCGAACAACGGCGGAGGCCTGAACGGCGGTTTGTCTATAAAGGGCACTGTACAGCTTTCCGACGGGGTTCTAGACTATCGTTAGGATTATCCGGAGGTGAACGCTTTGAAATCTTACATCGGTACTCCATCTTGCCGCGGTGTTAGCACCACCTGAGAAAAGTCCACCCGCTGCAGGACTAACGCAAATGTCAGTCTGAATCGAAAAATGGACCCATATCGGCGTACCTATATGCAAAAAAGGCGATGTTATGTTTACGCAACAGTGGAAATAGCTCCTTCTCGCCTCCTCTCACAATCGCGTTATAGTGCCCTTGATACACACTGGGTTTGACGTAGCCCTTTTCTTCGCAAATATCGATAAACTTCTGCACTTCCGCGGCAGTGTAATTGGACAATCCGAATTTCTTGAACTTTCCTTGTTGGAAGGCGTCATTCATTGCTTTTGCTGTGTCCTCGAATGGCGTTCGCCGATCAGGCACATGTAGGAACATTGTCTCCACAGCGGAAGTCTTGAGGGCATCTAGCGATTGTCTAATGCTTAAATCAATTTTCGAAGGTTCGAGGTCCCCTGGACCACGACTGCGGACTTTTGAATGGATGATAAACCGAGAGGCAGCTCCAGCCTGGCCAAGGCGTTTCTCGGAGCCGTCATAATTACTCGCAGTGTCTATATGCCTATAGCCGCGATTGTGGAATGCATCCAAGAGGGCCTGGACATCTTTCGCGTTATCGAAGTGTACAACCCCGGGGTTCTCATTAGCATCGCCAACCTATAGCCACCTGATTAGAACAAAATAGCCGCAACTGAATAATGTACGTACTGTGTGAGTGCCGAGAATAATATTGACAGGCGTGCCGGAAGACATGCTGGATGGAAAGAGACGTTGAAAGATGTGAAGTGCAGGACGAGTATAGAATAAGGCACTGCGAAATGAGTCCTGCGTTGGAGAGACCTTTATAAATAGTCCTTTCTAGACAGCTAACACTGGGTACATGCCTGTTAAATTCATTCCCTGCGGGATTTAGCTGGGCTGGTTTTGGATCATGGTGCGGTTCTATGAGCCCAATATTGTTACTCCCGCAACTTTTCCGCAATTTGGCCGCATGTTGCCCGCATATTATCCGCATGTTGTCCGCCATGCCAACCACCTTTGATTCCAAGAATAAGTACGGTCGCTCATCTGTATGCTCTAGGTAAATACACATCCTACAAGATATAAGATGACAAATATTCAAAAGGAAGAATATCCCGAATCGATTATAGCGGGGGCTAAGCCCTTCCCGTTGCTATAGATGTCCTATCAATCCAACATTGTATCTTGTCTGCGCCCACTATGAATGTCCAGTATAACTTTGCTAAATCGTCTAGCTCCTCGGCTGGATACTGTGACATCAAAGCCCCAGGCTGCAAGGAATCCACTAGAAGTGGGGGTTTCAGACGGCATAGTTCAAACCACTTCATGGCAGATTCGGCGTCCCACAAGCCACGGCGCGAAGTAAACATAACACTTCCAGTACAATCAGCCCATCCTTTAGTTGTGGTTTCGTATACGTTAATGACAGTGTCAATGATTAGACGCGAGCGCCGGACACTTTCAGTCAAGACCCATAGCCGCCACATCGCTGAACAGACATCGTATTCCTTGTCGAACTCACTTGCCGTCCATTGAAGGGGAGGGTTGTCCCAGGGACGGTCTTCCCCTCGATTTAATTTTACTGCCTCCCACATCTGGGTTACCCACTGCCGAAGAGTCGGAATATGTTTCTCGGCAGTTGCACGCAGACGCACGGAGCCATCAAAAAGCGCTATGAATTCGTAGACAAATAGCGCCTGAACACGGCCCAGGTGGTCCAGAATACCATGTGCACGGCTATCGGTGGGAGGACTCTGGCGGACAAGTGCAGACAAGCGCTCCTCGACTATCTGCAGTATGGTCTCCTTCACCGCTGGGGTACAACCAGCATAGGCCGCAAGAGTTGTGAAGGCGTCCTGGACACATGTAGGCATGCAATGCTCATACAGCCGTCGATGAATGAAGCTATTATAGCCATTCCTAACCCACGATCGCAGCATTTCCTCTACGGCGCGGATGAAAGGTTCCAGCTGAATACCAGTTTTGCAAGCTGGTTCTTCGTTTCTGTGCCGCATAGTCCAGGTCTCATCTCTGAGAAACCAGGGACATTGCGTAGTCACGATGTCGCCCCTCGGAAGTGCAGCATCCTGAGCTTGTACATCACTCGCTGGTACCGACAATGCTGGGATAAATGGTGCCATCACATCTGACATGGTGAAGTTAAGATCTGCGGCCCCCACCATAGCGCCCCAATCTTCGAAATCAGTAAGACAGCTCCGCAGTGCATCAGGGTCGGTTGGAAATTCTTCAGCCTCGTTGTCACACACAATAGGATTTCTTCGCCTTCTCTTTGGCTCCGGATATAGGCACTCCACGTCCCTGTCCAAGCAGCGCTGGCACTCAGGTAGCTGCTTGTCACACCTGCGCTTTGAATTTGCGCAGGCAATGCAGGCTTTCTGCCGGTATCTTGCGGACATACGGCGGGAATTGGAATTCTGGAACATATCAGGTTCGAAGTGCTAGCGGATTTTTGCCACTTTGTAAGGTAGTCATATAACTCACTTCGTTCAAGCTGCATATAAATATATATTCGGCACTTTAACTACCCTGTCCTACCCTAAGCAAGGAAAAAGGGAATCAGATCGAGAGAATACGATAAAGCCTATCAAGTGGGGGGCATATCAGCAGGCTGAGCCAGGATAGCGTTCTCGTGATCTGATTAGTCAACCCCGAATTCTAGGAAGTTCTGTAAATCCTTAGCTGCGAAGGGTTTAGATGGTTGGCGCCACGCGCCCTACTAATCCAAAAATACAAGGACTACAGTAACTTACCTCTTGTAGCCAAATCACCTGGACTGGCACCTCTTGCAGCCGCATCGGCCTTAAGGGCTACAGCGGACTATAAAGCGCTAATACGAATAGTGCAGAGGGTTAGACCTACTAGATCATGTAATACACTATAGGTATCTCCGTAGGTCACTAAGTAATTTATAACTTAGGAATTAGTTCTCCTTGGGTAATATATAGTTGTCTTACTCAGTTTACTCGGAGTATACTAATCTTACTAGTTAATATTAGGGCTTAGTAGCTAGTTCTGTAGTTCAAATCACTCCTAAAGTCTTATTAGCCTATTAGGACACTATAAAACATCATAATTAGTACCAGATCCTGCTCTAGCACTCTAATCTAATATGATAAATTAACCCCTATTACAGAACATGCTGCTAGAATGTGTCAGACGATAGCGCTTGAACTTACGACTATGATGAACTAATTCATGAGGCCGCAGGGCCTCTGGTTAGTGAGATATCTCAGGAGATCATTTTTGCCAAGAAGGTTGGTACAATTATTTCGGAGATCCCATTGCCTCTTTTTCTCTCTTATTCCTCTTAGGGTCGTTCGCTGAACTTCGATAGGTAACCGAGATGGTCCAACTCATGTCGTGTAATGAGGCGTGCGGCAATATTAGCTGCTGCCTCGGATCCTTCCGCTCAGCTCGCGTGGACCCCGGAGTTTCTTCGAACGTAATACACAGCCTCGCGGAGGAAAGTAAGTCAGTGAACACACTTGTTATCGCCCTTGAGCATATATAAAAGGTACGCAGTCAATCTCTCCAGTCACAGTAATTCAATTGCCATCTTACCAATCCTTTGCAAGATGTTGACCACATTTTTCTGCATTGCCAGCGCGGCAGGCGCCTTGGCTGCATCTGTACAGATTCGTGATCAATTCGACTCGTCGGCATATGCTGCAAAAGACGTCGTCGAGCGAGATTTTGCCATTATCGGCGGAGGAGCAGCAGGGACTTATGCAGCGATCAGTTTGGCCGATCAAAACAAAACCTTCACCCTAGTCGAAATATCGGACCGGCTTGGGGGACACACCAGGACCTTCCAGGACCCCGCAACCGGGGCCAGCGTCGACTTTGGCGTGCAGATCCACCTCGATACCCCGATCGTTCGCGACTTTTTTGCCCGTTTGCGCACCCCTCTGGCAAATGCGCAGCTCTCGGATTTCGGCATGCCCAAATATTACGACTTTGCCAAGCAAGTTGCCCTGACCAACTACACCCGGGGCAGTATCCAGGCCGACTATGTTGCCGAGCTCGACAAATATCCTTATGTCCAAGATCTCGTCGACCTGCCCAACCCTCCCCCTGCCGATCTGCTCCTCACTTGGCCAGAATTCGTCAAGAAGCACAATCTCTCCTCCGGCTCGGCCGAGGGTGGCCTCTCATGGCCAGCGACCCCTGGAGATCCATTGGACACCACCGCTCTTGCCATTCTTAACGACGGCAATCACATCGAGTTGAATGAGTTTGGCGGAGCTGCTCTTCACAGTGCCAATCACGACAATTCCCAGATTTACGTTAACGCGCTGGCCGAATTGAAGCCGCATGTGTTTTTGAGATCTTCCATCATTGCAGCTCGGCGTGGATCGACCCGCCAGTGCGGCGTGCAGCTCGTGGCCAACACCCCATCTGGCAAAAAGCTCATCAAGGCAAAACAGCTTATCATTGCTATGCCGCCTGTCTTGGACAACGTCAAGTATTTCGGTCTCGACCAGCAGGAGCAGGCCATTCTGAGCAAGCTTTCTGGCAAGCACTACTACGGCGGCGTCGTGAACAACACCGGGCTTAAGGAGGGCATTGCTTATACCAACGTCGGCGTGGACAGACCGTACCACGTCGCCAGTCTGCCCGGTGTGGTCGAGATCGCCCCTTCGGCTTCTCCTGGCTATCTTTTCTACTGGTACAACACGAACCAAGCCCAGACACAGGCTGAAATTGAGGGTGCTGCTCGAAGCACCATCAAGTGGCTGCAGACTCAGACCAATGCTCAGGCCCTGGAGCCAAAGTTTGTCGACTTCCAGGATTACTCACCATTCCATCTAAGCCCTCCGACCAAGGACATTGCGAACGGCTGGTATACTAAGATGAAGGGTCTCCAGGGTCATAGGAACACTTGGTACATTAGTTCTTTGTTCGTCGTTGGCTCGACCCAGGTCTGGAACAGCACTCACACCCTGCTTCCGGATATTATCAACGCTGCTAAGTCTTAAACTGTGTCAAAATCTGCAATTAGGGGCAAACTTGTGATGACCAGCTCGCCACCTGTCAACTGGTGAATCAACTAACCAGTTCACGTTCTGTTGGAGAGGTTTAGAGTTCCCAGGAGATATAGCCAACTGGGTCTGGGATCGGAAGCAAGTGTACAGTGGATATATGTCTGAGCCTATTGTAAATACTTAGTAGTATTCTCTTCTATAATTCATCCAATATGGAGCCATTATCTAGTATATTACAGCTTATAGAACATGCAGAAGTGCTACTTAATTTCTCTTAAGCTAATAGGCTTTAATAATGCCTGTCTTAAGATCTACCTATTTAGCAGTAAAAATTTATAGATAATAAGTATATACATAGAGTAAAGGAAATAGTAGTATACATATTAGTGGACTAGCTATGCTAGGGATTATAGATGAAAATTAGAAGGGTATTTAATAATATATTAGATATGCCGGGAGGAGTAGGTTAAGGAGGATAATTTAAAAGATACAATAGAAGATAATAGTACCTCAGGTATAGTACTCGACTTTATGAGGCATATGAAATAATTTAAAGCTATAAGCCATGAGGGCTATAGAATATAATGCCAGGCATAGGCCACTGCAGGCCCTGATGGGGCTCTAAGTTTATTAGGAAGTGATGGGTCTCTCTAAATATATGTATGTATAAAAGTAGCGATAGTAGCATCCTTCATATCGCCCCAGACAAGGGGTTGGGGTATGAATCAACAACAATAATTCGGGGTGAAACTCTCTCCTGATTGCCATGGCTAGATCAAGTCGGGTTCAAATAGATCTCAAAGTATTGACGAAGCGCTGCTTGCTGAACGATAACCCAGCCTGCCTGTACGCTTGATATAAGGTTGTTGGATCTAGGTTAGTCAATGGATCCTAGTCAAACGTAATTACCATGCGGTTCATGCAGAGTTCCAGGAACCCGGCGCAGGCATTGCCAAGCATCGTGTTGGAGGCTCAAAGTTGTTGTAAAGGCTGCAGGCGCAATTGGCTGCTCAATGCCCCAAGCAAGGCATGCGTCAGATGGTGACTCCCCTTTCAAAAGCATTCTGCTCACCATGTTGCTGCAGCAAAGACCATGGAGCTCCAGGCTGCATTGGCAACGCATATTCACGCGAGCTTATCTCTAATATCTACCGCATGCAGAACCAAAGATCAGGCTGGGACAAGTTGGTCAACTGCCAAAATCTAAAGGCCTCAATCAAACTATTCACAGCTTTGGCCACTTCAGAGAAATGTTGCTAGTGGGTCATGTATTGTATGTCGTGGTGAAGCCCAGACTTAATGGCTTTCTTTGAATCTAGTGTAATTCTTGTTCATAATATTGAATGCTGGCTAGCTTCATAATCAAGTGTCCCGTACCCAATTCTACTTTTCCTGTGGGCGAGCTCGAAAGTATCCAATCGAGGTCCAATGCTTCCGCTAGAGGCACGAAAGTGCTCAGACCAGACAGTCTGGACGGTCAAATCTGGCTGACCAAGCTCATTAAATGTTCGGCGACACCGCCTGAGCTCGTGTTGATCAGAGAATCGTCAGTGTCTCGTCAATGGGCAGTTTCTTCGGCTGCTCGGGACGAGCAGCTTGCTCATCTCCATAGTTGATGTGGGCCTTCAGTTTATAATCGTCAGGGACACCCGCAAATTCCTTTATGGCTGCCTCGATGGACGGAATAGCATTCATGTGCTGCAGGTTGGCGCCCACTCCCCCTAGTTCCAGGGCAGTCCAGACAAGGATCTGGTGGATGCCTTGAGTGTGATCACCCCACTCGCCAAACATATGGCCGGTCGCCTTGTGCGTCTCTGCGGCCTCTTTGGTCGTCTGGCCACGCTCCCAKAAGAGTATCTAGACCTTATTAGAAGTCTGCGTGTGAGTCACGAAAGTTGTTGACATACGGATCCATATGCAGCCTTATGACTTTGGAAGACGGGACCCAACTTTTGCCAGAGACCAGGATTGATCGACGTCAGGACCGGCTCAGCCTCCTTGAGGATAATGCTCCAGAGCTCCTTATGCTTCTCCCCGAAAGCGAGCGAAATGCGGACAGGCTGAGTGTTGTAGGACGACGGGGCGAAGGAAAGGACTTTGGAGACGATCTCTTGGACTCGTTCGTCCGAGAGCTTGGAGGTTCCTGCTAAACCATGAACACTGCGACGGTAAGCTGCTGCTTCGAGCCACTGGTCAGCCGTGATGGAAGGCATCTTGACAGAATGTGGGCAATGGTTATTCCGTCAGTCTTGGGATGCGCCTCATGATATATATATACTACGACCCACGCCAGCCAGAGGCCCCAGAGATATCAGCCCAATGATCGCCGCAAAGGTATCCAATGCTACTCAGTCGCCATGCTTACAGGAATCACTCATGCCGGCGATGAGGCGGCTTACGTTTTGCTGCGACCATGATAACTGTGCAGCAAATCACTGTGATTGGCCCCTGTTTTGCCTGATTTTCGTTTGCGGGGGATAGAAAGTCCGTCTCAGGAACGTTTCCCCGGAGGACAGACCACAAGGTGATAATATAGCACAAAGGAGAAAATTAATTGAGGGCGCGTCTTCTTCAGCTCACTGATCATCGTTTATTTGGATAAACGAGCCAGTAAACAGGGGATCGTCTTCTTCGACGTGTTTCCGTTATTTCAAAAGCTGACAAACTCTCTCAAATAAGTTAACTACTAGGGCCTATAGCAGCGAGGCCGTTTCTCCTAGTGATTCCTGAAATTGCCTTGACCAACAAATGTTTGATAATTTTATTTATTCCCACCTGTGACTAATATGCAGCGGGGCTGATGTATTCAAAGTCTAGTCATAAAATCAGTCTATTTTAAAAGGTCTATACGTACAAGCATCCCAACCCAGCAACGATTGATCTTATCAACTGTTGCGAAATGGCGAGAGACCCGAACCGCCGGCCGTAAGATAACTATACACATGATACAGGACGTCTCGAAACCAATGTCATTGCCTGCAAAGCATTCTTCTAACACTGGTTACTAAAGTATATCCGAAGTATGTTCCCCTGTCAGTGGAGCTGGTATTGTTTCTTATAAGTAATAGCGAAAACTGTGAATTCCTAGACAAAGTAAGTGTTTCCATTGTCAGTCTAACCTCCTCCCATCTTGCTCCGACATGAAAGACCCGACCGCGCCCTTCTGACCTAATTTCTCTTTCCTCCCTCTCCTCAACTCCTCTATCTTGCACACAGCGCCGCCCCTTTCTTCCGGTCGCTACTTCTCCCCCGCCGGTGATTGCCTTGGCTTTTAGCCTAACGCACTGGCCCTTTCTTGTTAATGGCGATGCCGCTCGATCCGACGCCGAGCTTGCAATGCATGTCACTTAGGAGAAGAACCACTGGGGTGATTCAGGCCACAGCGGCTTCCTGCCTATTTCGTGTCGATACTCTCGCTTTTGCCCCAAGGGGGTGATTGTGCATCATGCTACGAAGCTACGGTCTCTTTCTGAATGTGTGTCTTGCTCTTCTCTTAAGCCCGCCGGCCTCCGTATCTACAATGTGCCGATCTTCCTTCGATGCCGCATGTCCCGCTCCGTCCGCCCCCTCCAAGGTTACGTTGCACAGCCGCGGCGGCCCAGTATGGCTCTTGGTTGCCTGGTCGCAAATAACGTGGCATCCAGTTGTCGTCATCGTCAGTCTCTCCGGTTTGTCTACACCTAGTTGATGAATCTTCGAAAACACAGCCCGATGATAGAGGCCAATAGTGAAAATACCGCAAACGCCTTTAAATGCCTCACGCGGCGTCCAGCTTCCAGTGGAATCAAGAGAAGATTTATCTTACGGTCCTCTCTGGTTACGTACCAAACGGTAGCTACCTGGTAGTTTACTTCAAAATCTGTTGTGTCTTTGTACTGGCTTGTTTGTTATGAGCTTAGAATAGTTATTCCAATGTTACCACGTGGCTTCTAAGTACATGATAGATCACTTGTGCAGCAATGCATCACAGATAGGCAATTTCATGAGTGATGTCGTGAGGAGTCGTCGTCGGTATTAGTCTCCTGTAAGGCTGATCCTCTCCTCTAGATCCACTTGCCAGGAATAAGACGGCGATAGCAAGCAAAGAAAACGTCAAGTTCGCCCAATCGTCGACCGCACGGCTCCTTGGAGATCCACAACAGGGCATCGGGACCCATCAGTTGAAGGGATGGCTGATGGCCATCTGGCTACTCAGGCAATAACTATATAGGAACTGGGCCATCAGCCAGTGTCTCGGATTAGTCAAGTATAAATACAGGATAGTTGCCTTCCATCGGATGTTTCTTTTCATCTTCATCGTCAGAGAGTGGCCAAAATGGTTCGGGCCATCCTATGGTCCGTTAATATTTTTCTCATCAGTCTCGGCCAAACGGCAATCGTCCCTCTTCCTTCAAGCACCGGACCATGCGATGTCACGCTTCATGCAAGTGAACTAGTTGACACATCTCGAACCGATCCCTATGACCCAAAAGGAGGTAAACGTTCTATCATGGTCACCACCTTTGCACCCGTCAATTGTGGAAGTGTACCCTCTACATCTTACATCCCCAATGCAACAGCCAGGTATGAAGACGTGAATTTCCAGCCTTTTGCACTACCTCCAGGAACGTTCGAATCCCTTCGTATCCAGACTCAGACACAGCAGCCGCCACCGACTTTCAGTCATTACGGAGATTACCCAGTAGCGCTTTTCTCACCGGCACTGGCAACCTCAAGATTGATGTACACATTGCTGCTTCGAGAAATTGCCAGTAACGGATTTGCTGTTGTCTCCGTCGATCACCCGTACGATGCTGACATCGTAGAATATCCTGATGGCCGCACGGTTCTCGGAATACTCGCCAACATCAGTACCGAAACAGAATGGGTTTCAGCACTGAACGTTCGTGTTAAGGACATGGTCTTTTTACTTGATCAAATGCACGACGAAAAAGTGATCAGAGACATATTCCCCTCGTTACAGGGAAATGTGCGTCTACTCTCTCTTGATCGAGTAACGATCCTCGGTCATTCCCTCGGCGGAGCAACAGCAGCGCAGACAATGCTGGTTGACAATCGGTTTGTTGGGGGTATCAATCTAGATGGTAAACTATGGGGGCCTGCCGTGGACAAAGGACTCTCGAGTCCGTTCCTGCTTTTCGGTCACACAAACTACACGCAGGCAACAGAGCCCAGCTGGGCAACATTTTGGACACATTTACGAGGATGGAAACTTGAGCTACAACTTGCACAGTCCAAACACTATACATTTTCTGACTTTCCAGTGCTTGCCGACGCTCTGTGTGTCTCGGACGAAGTTAGACAAATTATTCAGGCCGATCTTATTGGGACGATAGGTGGTTTGCGGGCTAAGAATGTGATTGCTTCATACACCGTTGCCGCACTGCAGTACTTTGTTTATGGGCACACGTCGGATATGCTGAGCGGCCCTTCTGTAGCATATCCTGACGTGACATTTGTGTCTTTCTGACTAGTTAAATGACATTGTAGAAATATCTGGTATATTGACAATAGATGTGGATATCGGCACCATCATGCATGTGAAGATCTCGTGCATCCTCCTGTGCAGTGTCATTTTCAGTCAGCTACGCGGGAGAGAATTAGGTGTGAAGTCGCGCTCTGAATAGTGAGGTCATTGACTGAGTTGTGAAAAGGTCCGTCAAAGCTGCAAGGTACTGTCATAGCAAACAAGATTCGGGCATGCGCCTTAAGAGCGCACCAGGTAATGGGCTTTATATTTCATTATATTCTGTTTCCCTTGTCTTTGCCGATCTATCATTTCCATGTTATCCCATCTATTCCTTTTTACGCCATCCCATAACTGTGCTTCGTGTACACGCTAATCTTTTGCATTGAGAACCTTTTCTCGACTGGCCTTCCATTTGCGTTCTTTTCTAAACATCACGCCACCCAAGCTGGTCATCAGGTACGGAGACTCTGTCTCCTGTGCAATTTTGTGAATCTGGTGGACGATCGTCTCGACGTCTCGGCTCTTGATAGGCATGCGATGGCCGCCCTCCCACTCCAAGAGCGTGGCCTGTAGCGGGTCGCAGTACTCCTGAAGCAGGTCTCGGTGATGGTCCAGGCCGGGGTCTTTCAGCCCATGGACGTGGATCGTGGGCAGCCGCAACATGTGCTCGTCGGAACCCAAAGTGAGCCAGGGAGGAGCAGGATGTGTAAACGGTGTGGCGGCGTCGACCAAGCCTTGCGGCTGGGGGAGGTCAGGCATGAGCCAGACCAGCGGCCCACGACCGGCAAAGAGGACAGCGAACCGGAAGCTGGTCACCCCGCACMTCTGCTGCCGGTAAAGGATGCTGGCTGCCACCTTTGCGCCCTGGCTGAATCCCAATAGGCCAACCCAGTCTCCTGTCGCCCCCTTGGCGTCGTCGGCAGCCATGGCCAGCGCAAGAGCGGCGTCGATTCCTGCAGCAACATCCCGGGACGTCCAGACTCCAGGCATGCGGTGATCACGGAGCCAGACCCTGAAAGGCCCGTAGTCCTTGTAGACAGACGTTACATCCGGCCCAGGTTCCACGCTGGTGAATGGAGCCTGTGCATAGACGAGACGGAAAGATCTTCCGAGGCGCTTCTCAAGCACACGGCACTGCATACGGAAGATAAGTGCGTTGGTGCCCCCGCCGTGGAGACAGAGAATGCGCGGCAGGTGGATCGTCGCTGTGTCCTTCATGTTGAGGTATCCAGAACCAGCGGACTGGGGGCTCTGGGCATGATCGTAGTGCCCGACCATGACGGGCTAAGTCGCACAGAAGGGTGTTATTTATAGTGGAATACTAATATTCTGCCACACTTGGAGGCTGCGCTGTGGGACTGAGAGGAGGGCTATAGAATGCTGTGTACCATAAGGTGCGCACCCTTTTGCAACATGCCAGTTATAGGCTTGATAACTGTGCAGCAAGTGGCCATTATTCCGCTTAGACAGGCTCTAGCTTCCCTGATTGCTCTCTTGCGGGCAATGTTAATTCCGTAGGCTGGTCAGCGTGGAGTTATAATAGTCCGTGTTGTATCCACACTCCTGTATCGCCTTGCGGCTGTATACTGACAATAACTTCACCAATCAGATAACTTTGGGTCAGATGTATGCACAGAAGATCAAATGCGGACTTATCAACTTTGAGGAGGGTGTGGTCAATAATCAGAGACAGGGTGGCTGCATAGTGTTGGTGATGCAGCTCATAAGTTCACCCTATTTACGGGAGCTGGGTCCAACAACAGTGTCATTGATATCCTGGCATTAGCTAACCCGTTCACCTGAGCCTTTTCTTCTGGTGGCCTATCAAGCAACAGGCTTGCTGCTACATTTAAAGAGCACTAAGATGTGCGGTATGATGCCATTAGGGCTGGCTGCCGCATCTCCAACAATACCATAGCTATGGCTACCTGGTTGAATTTAATAATGAAGCTCATAGACATCTATGTCACTGGAAACAAGCTGATTCAGCAGTTCTTCATCAACAAGAGTGTGGATACTATGAAGACACCTGTCTTTGATCACATTGAGGATGAAGACGAGATTGTTGGAAGTCTCTCCTAGATTCATGCAATACCACCACGATCTCAAAAGGTTTTCTAGGCAGCTAGTGGCTTCAGTTCAATCAGTCCCATCATAGGCATTAGATCTCTTTAGTAGCTGCTCACACAACTGATGTAACGGGGCTTGTAATACGTAATTGGTTAGCGATGTCTGTAGCAAGGGGATTAGAACAGAGCTCTTTGTGGAAATCATGGAAGCCAATTCGAATTCTTCTATATGCTATAGGTGAAAGAATATCCAAACAAGAACAACACAAACTCAAGTTTAAGAAACCATGTCAATTACTAAGAAAACCCATCGCCTTCCAAGATGACACATAGGACCGCACCACCTCAGCACTCACTGGCCCTTCCGTGGCCATTGTTTTGGAATGCTCACTTGATCTTTGCGTGTCCAAAACGATACCACCGCAAGCCATGCGCTCAAAGTGGCCGTCGAGGAAGCCCAGGGCGAGGGCGGCCGGGTTCTCCGCCGGGGAGAGAGACGATTGGCGAACCCGTTTAATCCACTCTTCGAAGGGCACGATGCCGTGGGGAGGAATATCCAGCGCAGCCGCCAGGACCGTTGACATTTCTTTCCACGGCTGGCCGACGGGGTTGTCGACGTGATAGATGGGATACGCCTCTGTCGCATCATCGCGATTGTCGATATTCAGCAGGTCGACCATGACGCTGGCGGATTTATCCACGGGCAGCCAATGCAGCACACCTCGCAGGTCGGGAAACGCCTTGAGCGCCTGAGCGCTTTTCACGACGAAAGCAAAGTGCTCGACTGGGTTCCAGAAGCCGCTTGTGGTCGACCCGGAAATCTGGCCCGGCCGTGCCACCATGGCCCGGAAGAGCTGCGGGTGACGGCGCAGCGTGTCGGTGAGCATGCGCTCGCACACCCACTTGCCCTCGTTGTAGCCGCTGGGGATCACCGCCGCCATGGGCATCGCCTGCTCAAGCACGTTGGATTCGGCCGAGAAGCCGGTCACGCCGATTGAGGAGATGAATTGGAAACCGATCTTGCGCGGCTCGCTTCCTACTGCCATGTCGTGCGCCAGGTCCAGCAGGTTCCGCATCACCTTAATCTGGGGCTCAAAAGCTTTGAGTGGCCGCGTGGCGCTCATGGGCCACGCGTTGTGGATGATGTGGGTGCCGTACTGCGCCAACCAGGTGTACTCCTCGTCTGATAGACCGAGCTTTGGCTTGGAGGTGTCGGTACCATATACACGCAACTTCTCGCGTGCGGCTGGGGACAGCTCGATGCCTCTCGAAGATAGCGCCTCCGCCTGCCGCTTGTCGGCGGGTACGTCACTGATGGCGCGGTTGATGCAAACGACAGTTGCGACATCCGGCCGCTCGGCGAGTGTTTGAACAATGTGCGACCCAAGGCTGCCCGAAGCGCCCGTCACGACCACCACAGCTCCAGCACTGGGGCGGGTGCTGACAGTGCCTTTCGCCGCAGCCTCAAGTGCGGCCGACCCCCAACCGGTCGTGTAGGCTGCCACTAGGCGCAGTGCCTCTGCCTCTCGGGCTGCTACATCACCCCTATTAATTACTTTCGCCGCTGGGACAGGTGAATCACTGACCGAATTTTGACTTTTGCTGGTGAAGTCCGAGGCGTCATCCGGAGTAGAGATATCAGAGGTTGTGTCTTCGTCCCCCGAGTCTGAGAGCGCAAGATCACTCTCTTCGGTTGCCGTGTCATCGTCGCTATCTTCGTCGTCATCCTCTTCTTCCACGTGCTTCCCACCTCCGGCTCTCGCCAAAGCATTCGACACGCAGGCAACGAACTCGCGGAGACTGGTGGCTACCATCGTCTCAGCGTGGTCGAGCGTGCAGTGGAAGGTATTCTCGATCTCGCGCGCCAGCTCCATGCCCATCAACGAATCAATGCCCAGGTCAGCCATCTCGCTGTCGAGGGTCATTTCGCTGGCATCGATGCCGGAAACGCTGGCGACCACGTCGCGCACCTCGTTTGCAATATCGCGCGGCCCACTGGCAGGCTTTGCCTTTTTATTGTTGGTTCTCTTTGCCTTGGGACGGGATTGGGGCGGCGCCGGTTGGGAGCTTGGACTAGCGGCGTTGGTAGGCCCGTCAAGGGTGGCAAGAGGTCGGGCAGACGATGGCAGAGCCGCTGCGGTACTTCTCACAAACGACTTATCTTTCGTAACCCGCGCTAGGATCTTGCTCATCGTGGCCTTGGGAACGCGGACATATTTCAGGCCCAAAATAACCTCAGCCAGGGCACCCGTTGAGGCATCAAAGATGAAGACATCCGTCACGTAGGACTTTTCATTTTGGCGCGCGTGGCGAGCGAGTACATGCCAGACACCAGGACCATGCTCACGGCCGTCAGTTACAGTCTGAGCCTTTGGCGAGCGCATTACCAGCTCGAGGCCCGTGGCAACGAACATGTCACTGGCCGGGATGTCCGTCAGCAGGTTGACGTACATGCCCGCAACTTGGCCGTACGAGTCTGCCTTGGGGACATCAAGCCAGGTGTCGCCGGCGTGGCGCTTGTGCACGACACCCGCGCTCTCGCCGTCGTCGCGGCCCACCACGTACCGCACGCCGTGGTACACGGAGCCGAAGTCGACCACTTCTTCGAAGGCTCGGTACACGTTGCGGCCTTGGAGCGCCTCCACGCCCTCATCGTCCGCGCCCAACGCCAGAACGGCTTGGCACTGGGCGTAGCTGACCACGCGCTCCCAGCGTCCAAATTCTTGGAGAGCGGCCGGGTCGGATGGCGAGCACATGTTGATGCGTCCCTCAGCGTGCTTGTCGTCGGCAGGGGAAGCGCCGACGCTGTGGATGGTCCAGTACCACTCTGTTTCGGCTTTGTCGAGCGGCTCAAGGTCGATGTAGTAGTCGCGCGTCGAGTCGGCGCAGATAGGCGAATGGCTGAGCATATCGCGGACTACCGGGAAGAAGCCATTCGGTCTCCATTGCGGATTCAGGCTGAAAAGGGTCTCGATGGCCATGTCGATCTCAAGCGTGGCTGGAGCAATGGGCGCCGTCTTGGCGATAACGTGGGTCGCGAACAGGCGCTGGTACTTGTCTGAGGCCGTGTTGATGCGGAACCGAGCCAGCTTTGTCTTCTTCTTGGTGGTGCCACTCTTGTGGTCCTGGAAGCCGATGAAGGTCCATAGATCAAGGGTCTTAGGATCGACTTGTCCTTGCTGTGCCTGTCCCGCCGCCAGCTGCAGCCCATTGCTTCCGATCATGTCTTGGGCGATCTTGATAGCCTGCTCGATTGGCGACTTGAGCTCGAGCCAATGTCGCGACTTCTCGAACTGGTATGGCGGCAGGAGGAGCTGCGCATACTCTCCCGACTGTACCCGGTGGTGTGGCCAGAAAGACACACGTAGGCCTTGTTTCCAGAGATCTACAGTTGCATCTGTGAGTCTGTCGATGCCCCTCTGGGTGTTGGTGATGGACACAGATTGGAAGTGGAGCCCATCAGAATGCGTTGGCGCCGTCTGAGCAAGTGCACGCGATGCCATGACCGTGATGGTCGAGTTGGAACCCGCCTCAAGGAAGATGGCCTGCGGATGCTTCTTTGCGAGCCGTTGTACGGCGTGGTTAAAGAAGACTGGCTGGCGCATGTGGGAGCCGACAAAGGTCCAGTCCAGTCGGGCCGCCGGGTCGCCATGCTCGGTGGCACGTTCTACTGGAATGACGGCATCGTGGAAGGTCACTCCTTTGCCGACCTCTCCGAGGCGGTCGACGATGCTCTCTACCAATGCGGAGTGGAAGGCATTGGTGACGTTGAGACGCTTGCTCTTGACGCCCTCGACCGCGCTGCCTTTTCCAGCCAGCGTGGTGGCAAAGGCGTCAATGGCTTTGGTCGATCCAGCGACAGTGAAGCTGCGAGGACCGTTATAGCAGGCGATGCCAGCTGATCCGTCGGATCCCAGGTTTGACTCCTTCAGGAGATCATGCACAAGCGCCTCGTCAGCCTCGATGGCCATCATGGCGCCCGGATCAGGTCCCCAAGCGCTCTGCACCAGCTTAGCCCGACCAGCGATCAGTTTGACTGTGTCTTCCAGACTCAGCACGCCCGCCACGCAGAGTGCTGTTATCTCACCAAAGCTATGGCCCACGACGGATACTACCTTGTCGGCGAGCCCACAGTCTATCCAGCTCTTGGCTGAGGCATACTGCATAGCAAAGAGGGCTGTCTGGAGCTTGACTACATCCTGATAAGGCTCGCAAGCGAAAATGTCGGGGTAGATACTGTCTAGGCCGTGAGATTTGATGGCGGCATCGCAGTTATCCAGGTGATGCCGCAACACTGCTGCACCTTCATATACTGCGCGGTCGAGGCCAATGAATGTCGAAACCTGGCCCCCAAAGCATAGGACGACGGGTCGCTCAGGCTTCACAGGCGCAATGCCGATGCTGGCAGCTGTCTCCTTGGTAGCCGCGGATGCCTTAGCAAGCTTGTCCTGTAGCTCGTCCAATGAACTGCAGCTGAAGATCAGCCCTTGAGGCAAGCCGGGGTTCGATTGCCATTTCATGTTGAACGATACATCAGCAAGCTTGGCTTGTCCATCTTCGGGCCCAGCGTGTGAGCGGAGATAGGGAGCCAACGCGGTGCTGTACGCTGCAATGCTGCGGACATCGAAGCCTGAGATCCAGAAGGGCAGTCGAGCCGACGATCCGGCCAAGGAGGTTTTGGCAGGCTTGTGAGCCGAGTAAGCAACCACCACGCTCGAATTGGATCCGCAGGCGCCATAGTTGTTGAGCAGAGCCAGCTTTCGGTCCCCTGGCCAGGACCGCAACGACGTGACAACCTCCATGTTGTCTGACGGCTGCGCATGGATATTGGGATTCATGCTCTTGAAGCTTGCTTGGGGAGGGATGAAATTGCCTCGCATCATCATGAGCACCTTGATGAGGGAGATGAGGCCGGACGCGCCCTCCGTGTGGCCGACGTGACCCTTGACCGAGCCAATGGGCAGAGCAGTATCGCGTAGAGGACCAGCCACAGCGTTCCGTATGCTTTCCCACTCTGCAGGGTCTCCGACGGGTGTGCCAGTGCCGTGACACTCGACCAGCGAAATGTCACGTGGGTCTACGCGAGCTTTGCGGATTACATCATTGAATAGTGTCGATAGCGAAGGTACGTTGGGAACAAACAGTGGCGTCGTGTTGAGGTTCTGATTGATACCTGTAGAGCGGATGGTCCCCAGGATCGTGTTCCCGTCGGCCATGGCGGTTGATAGCTTCTTCAGGAAGACGTAGGCGATCCCGTCGCCGCGGCAGTAACCATCGGCATCAGAGTCAAAGGGTTTACACTGGCCTGTCGGGCTGATGAAGCTGCCGGCGGCGAGGTTTTGTGTCCATTGCAGGTTGGTCAAGACATTGACGCCACCGCAGAGCGCCGCCGGGACTTCGCCTGACAGCAGATCCCGGCAGGCCATGTGAAGGGCTGTCGTCGACGACGAGCATGCTGTATCAAACGTCAACGATGGGCCCGTCCATCCGAAGTAATGTGACACTCTCCCGGGGATGAAGCTTCTCAGCTCCCCCGTCCCCGTGAACGCGCTGGTCGGATGGCAATGGATGTTGACATCGTATTCGTAGGAGCAGAGGCCGACGTAAACACCAATGTGCTTCCGTCTTTCAAGCTCAGCCGCGCGTGTCGAGGCCAACTCGTTGAAATACCCGGCCTGTTCGAGAGCTTGGTACGCCGCCTCCAGTGAAAGCCGGCCCTGCGGGTCTATCGCCATTGATTCGCGCGGGCTCTTCTTGAAGAACTTGTGATCGAAAGCATCCGGGTCGCGCATAAAATTGCCATACCACTTCCTGTCCGGGTCGGCATTGTCGCGGAACAACATGTCGGGGGTCATCCGCTCGCGCGTGATGACCTCGTGCTGCGACTCGCCGGTCTTGAGCATCTGCTCGAACTCGTTCAGGTCTTCGCCACCCGCAACCTTGATGGACATGCCCACAATCGCAACCACATCTTCCAAATCTTCTTCTGGCTTGACACTGGGTCTGCTCGGTTCTGCGACCTGGACTGCTTCGACAGGATCGGAGCCGTTCGCCGTGTCATTGTTGCTTTGTCGTTGTTGGTGCAGGTGCACAATTGACTTGTTTATGTCCTCCTCGACATCCTCGAAGTGTACTTGCTTCGAACCGAAGGCGCGCAGAATGGTGGGCGGCAGAGGGCGGTCGAGCCCATAGGCAATGAGGGAGATGTCCTCCTTGTTGGCCGCAAGCTTCGAGACGGTGCTTGTCCAGTTTAACTGCTTCGTCAGGATAGAGCGCAGCACCATACCAACCAAGTCGACTTCTTCCCCCGAGACTTGCTTCCCCTCCGGGTGGTCGAGGTAAGTGGGCAATGCCAGCTGGGCAGCGTCCGGGAACTGCAGCTCAGGCATCGAGTGGCACACTTCGATCAAAGCTTCGGTGTGGCGTTCCCGCTCTGCTGTGGGTGTGTGGAGCTGACCCTTGAAGGCGAGCGGTATGGCCGTGACGCCAGCTGCCCGAAGCTGTCTGACCAGCTTGGACGCGAGGCGCTCCGACGCCGTCACGGTGGCTCGGGACTCGTCAAAGAGTACTGAGATGTAGGCATCCGGAGACAATTTCGAGACGATGCGCGCCATATCCTCGCCCTGCTTAGGGGTTCTCCACGCCGTAGCCAAGGAGACGGACCCGCCTTTGCCGACCCTCTTAGTCCACTCCTCGGTGGCTCCTACCAGGGCCGCCATCAGCGCGCCGATGCGTAACGCCGCGGCGCCGTACTTTTCAAATTCCTGTCGGTTGTGGGAGCTGGCGACGGCGACGGCGGCGATCATGCCAGCACAGAAACCCACTGTCTCGGCCTTGTTGCTTCCGCCAGGCTGTTGCTGTTGCTGCTTCACCAGCTCTGCCTGCAGGTCGTCCACACCTTTTCCAGTCGGACCGTTGAATCGAAACTCCAGATAGCGCCAGTACTGGTCCAGTTGAATAGCGACCATCAGAACCCCGATCCAAAGATCTGGTATCTCCGCGTCTGCAGCCAGCGACTCCACAGAGTCTGGGCCATGTCGAAACCACAAATTGAGATCGGCGAGCAGACGAGCACCCTGCATTGTGCTGGCCACTTCGGGGATCTTCTCTGTCAGGGCTTCCCAGTACCGGGGCAAGCCGGCCAAGGTCTCCAGGATCCATTGTCCATTTGCCCCGTCCACGATCTGCCGCACCTGTCTCTCCAGCGAGTTTTTGCTTTGTGGCCCGATGTGTCCTCCGAAAATGAAGCTCGTCGCTTCACGGACGTTTGATAAGGAGGTAGGGGGGGTCATCATCGTTGCTTAATGTGATGTGTGATGGGGGATTAATTTCCAGGGAAAAACAGGAAGAATAGTGAATGATTGAATGTCAGTCGCGCGGGATATACTGATCTAATAAGAAATAGTGTCAAGAACACTAAGGAGGGTTATGTATGTGTCTTAAAATCCCCGATTCGTAGCTAAGACAATGTCCATCTTCTCTTGTTTTATATAGTTATATATGTGTATGTATGTACATGCGATGCTTTAATTGGCTATCTTTCCCAACCTCGTGTAGAATAAGCATTGGAGGCTTACCGCAATAACTTTTGTGCAGAAAGGAGGCTTACAGCTGAGGCCTGCTTTCGGAGTTTCGGAACAAACTAACAGCAAGCGAGGCAGCACCGTCAGCACGATGGGTGAGCGCTGTTATTCCAGTGCGCAGACGGAATCCCGAATGCTGGAAGGCAAAGCACACAATCTCCTAAAGGTGGAAGACTCTTGGCCGTCTGATATGCAGGGGCAACGGCTTCAGTATCCCAGCGATGACAAGCACGTGGCAAGCACATGGCAAGGACATGGAGGAAACACCGAATATGGTGTTGATCTACACGGCATCGTACTGAAATCACACAGCATACGCATATATGCGGTGTCACTATGGACCTGCATCAAACCTCAAATTGACACACGAGTATGGGAGTTTCGCATCGAAGCAACTCCTCGGTACAACTCGCAATAGCTATTTCGAGGTGGTCCGACGCAGTTGTTTCCGGACTGACCGATGGCCACAGCAATCGTAAGCCTCCCAAACTGGACCGATTGGTGGTGAGCAAGTCAAGGGGAATTGAAAGTCCGGGTTCAGGGCTCGGCCGCAGGGGTGGTAAGCACGCCTCCGCCTCACGCATCGTACGTTACGGCACCCCAATCTGTCGGCCCGTCCACAGTTACCCATCTATATATATATATGTGTGTGCGTGTGTATATATTGGTATCAGGTAATCAAGCATATTTTTATTGATAGTGTTTATTGGGTCGCTGGTCCGCCCTTTTCTGAGTTGTTTATGCACACTTGATCGTCCTGTCTGATCATTTCGAGTCAGCTAAATTCAAATCGACTTTAACAAAAGCACCCACAGAATTCGTTCACATCTTCGCCATGGGCAGCATCAACGGCAACGGCGTTGCACCCTCTCTTGATGTGGCCGTTGTGGGCGGTGGCATCATCGGCGTGATGACGGCGATTGGCCTGCGTCGCCGGGGCATAAACGCAGTCATCTACGAGCGGGCGTCCACCTGGCACGAGGTCAGCGCCGGATTTGCATTCACGGGCGCAGCGCGGGTGTGGATGGAGATGATCGATCCTGCTCTCGTCGAGCTCCTGGGCAGCATCAGCCAGAAGACGGACGCCAGCACCAGCAATGCCTACTGGAATGGCTACCACCCGCGGACCCGAGAGGATGCCGAGGATGAGTCCAAGTCGCTGCTCTTCCGTACGCCGACCAACAACCTCAGCTTCTGGGGCTGCGTGCGCTCGCAATTCCTGCAGGGGATGGCGGCTATGCTGCCTGACGGGGCGGCGAAGTTCGGGAAGCAGCTCGCGAGCTACGATGATGACGACCAGAGTGGCAAGGTCGTTCTCCACTTCGACGACGGCAGCACAGCCGAGGCCGACGTCTTGCTTGGGTGCGACGGCATTCATTCGTGCACCCGGAAAGTCCTGTTGGGCGCCGACCATCCGGCCAGCCGGGCGGGCTTCAGTCACACCGTTACCTACCGCACCATGGTCCCTATCGACGTGGGCATCGCCGCCCTGGGCCAGAAGGTTGCGAAGAGCGCTTGTAATCACTTGGGGCCAGGCGCAGACCTGCTGGTGTATCCGGTTCGTAAAATATCCTACTCCCATCCATACGGGGATTGCTAATCGAAGCAGGTCATGTCGGGAACTCTTCTGAACATCGCCGTGTTCGCTTACGAAGCCGCGGAGTTTCCTGACCGCGACAAGATGACGGTTCAGGTCGACCGTAGCGAGATCGAGAAGCTGTTCAAGGGCTGGACTCCGCAGGTCGCGGACATTTGGAAGCTCTATCCGGAGAAGGTGGTCAAGTGGGGAATCTTCGATCTGGAACAAAACCCGCCCCCGACGTATGCGCGCGGCCGCGCCTGTCTCGTCGGTGATGCCGCGCACGCCAGCACTCCGTATTTGGGAGTCGGCGCCTGCACCGGCGTTGAGGACGCCCTTGTGATCTGCACGCTCCTGGAGTCGGTGCAGCAGAAGGCGCTGGGCGGCGAGGCGCTGAGAGACGCGTTGAGCGAGGCGCTACAGACCTACAGTCAGGTACGGTTGGACCGTGGCCGGTGGATACATCACCACTCCCGCCAGATGGGCCAGATGTATCATTGGCGATACGGCCCGACAGGGCGCGACCCGGAGCGGATGAAGCAAACGCTGGAGAAAAACTGGTCTACGGTGGTCAACTACGATGTTTTGGCACCGTTGTCGCCTGAACTACGCGAATTGGCGCGTTCAAGGGCCTCTCACTAAGAATCGCTCGCCATCTCGGTTACTGTCACCTGCTTGTATTACCTATAGCCACTACATCACAGATATGCAATCACGAAATGATCCTTTCCGTACCAATTCTCATATAGTAGAGATATCAAAATTCGAATGTCATCCAGTAGGCATATCTAGTAGGGAAGATGACGATGTGATATGGATAGTAGATGGCATCCCATATGAAGATTTGATATTGATAATATTGGTGCTTTAATACCCAGTGGTTGCAGAGATATACGGGAATAATCATCTCTATTAGGGGTTGATATGAAAGTGGTGCTGATATATATATACATATTGACCTTTGACTACCATGGCTCAAGAATAATTCCTACCAATCCGCTGTTCAACCACCTACATATTGAATCAACATTTTACATATAGATTAAATAACTATAACTATATTTCATAAAAAATATTAATTTTCTATAAGCATGCTGGATAGGCCTTAGGTAGGTGGTGTGTCTGTGGCAGCAGTGCGGTGACAGGTAATCGTAACAAATTTATCTTAGCTGGTTTGTACAAATAGTCCACCATAGTAGCAGCGTAATGAAGAGTATTGGACAACATTTGCCAGGGAGATCTGAACAGTGCTTACTCATTGACTACCCTTTTTATACTCTTTAAAGTATGTCAGGTTGGGAATCTGCATTCTCTGTGCTTATGTGCTTCAACATTTCTGCTCGTTGTTTAAAACTTAGTAGCTTTCGCCATTAATTGTAGGTGGCTAGGTGTTCTGGATTGCCATGGTAAACATTATTGCTACGAATCATTGTACTGAAGCCATAAATTTCTCGAGATATCCTGATCATTCTACCTGGGTCTTTCGGGAGTGGATAAATTCCTTAAGCCTTTAACAAACTGATCACTGATATTCAACCAAGTATGATGAGTAGCATAATAACACGAGTATAACCCAAGATTMAATGATGCATACACAAAATAAGGCACTTCAGACACAATAGATGTATATCGGTATATCCTTATGCAGTATCAAGTCATAGATAATCCATGCCTTGCAGTCCTTCACTGGGGTTCCTCACTGGGTGGCTTCATGATAGAACGATCGCCGGTGGACCAGATATGGGTGGACTTCATCACCTTCAACTTCCAAACGTCGTCCACCTTGACAGCGTCGCAGTTGTAGAATGCGCCAGTGGTGAACTTGGTAGAGTCCGGCTCGTAGCCTTTGCCGAGGACGCAGTGCACAGCCTGACAGTTGAAGGTCACGCGGGCGGTGGTCTCAGTGTCGATGCTCACGCGCACATTGCTGAGGTAGTGGATTGTGTCGACCCGCTCGCTGACATTGATCCACACCTTGTTCCTGAGCTCGTCATAGCCGTCGCAGACCTTGAAGGCGATGTCGGTGTAGATGTCGGGCGTCACGGCCGACTTGAGAAGCTCCTCGCTGGACTGGTCGATGGACAGGAAAGCGCGGTAGCATGCGTCGGCGATGGCGTCACGGTCGCTCAGAGGCGGACCAGCGAGCTTGGCGGGAAGGGGTGTGCCGTTTTGAACCATTGTTTGTTTCTGTGGTGGGTCTGTGGGAAAGCTGGGTTTCAATGTCTATGGAGTGGAGGAGTTGTCTTGTCAATGCTGCTTGCTACAGCTGGACACATTCGCCTACTATATGACAGTCCCTCTGGTCAGACGGAGCATACTAAGCACACCATGGAAATCCAGAACTCATAGTATTTCCGTGGATCAGCACTCGCATATCGATATCCCGCAAGGCTGAGCCAGGGCCGGCTTCATTTAGCCAATCATGCCGACGCAAGGCACATTGATCGTCCCGCTGTCGGACAATCAATGTCCCTTGCGTCAGCATCAGCAGCGAATCACAGCCTCGCGGAGCTTGAAGATCCCCCGATACGCGAATAATAAACTATGCCGTGAGAGGCATAACGCAGGGAGTATATCCGCTCGTTTAGTCTCTCGTTCTCTCTTTCTACTGCGCTGGACCGCAGCTAAACCACAATCACGTCCCTTCAAGTCAAGGCTAAAAAAAGGACTGATACACAGCCATGGCCCAAGATCCAGTGAACCAAGCAGCCTGGCTGACCGCCTCCAAAGCCGCCCCCCTCGAGGTCGGCCCAGCGCCCTACACCCTCCCGGCGTTGGGCAGCTCGGCATCCGCAACGCTGCCATAGGCATCGATCCTATCGACTGGTCGAAAAAGTTCCTTGGCGACGGCATCCTCCCACACATCCGCTACCCTACCATCTGTGGTGAAGACGTTGCTGGCACCGTCATCGCTGTAGGTGAAGGCGTAACGCGCTTCCGCGTCGGCGACCGCATCCTCGCCGTGGCCGGCCTCATCCCTTCCAATAACACCCCCGAAGGCGCCTTCCAGCTCTACACTGTCGTCCGCGAGTGGTTACCACGCCCCTGCCACCGCGCATCAGCTTCGAGCAAGGCTGCGCCCTACCTCTAGCCCTCATCGTCGCCGGCCTGACTTGTTCGGCAAGGACTACCTCGGGCTCGAGCTTCCAACCGTCCCCGCGCGTCCGGCCGACGGATCCCGCGTCGCCATCATTGCAGGCGGCGCGTCCTCCGTTGGTGGCACAGCGGTGCAACTCGCCGCTGCAGCGGGGTACCATATCGTCTCCACCTCCTCGCCCAATAACTTCGACCTCGTCAAGAGCCTGGGCGCCGCGCACGTCGTCGACTACAACTCCCCGACCGTGGCGGACGAGCTGCTCGCCGCCGTGCGCGGGAGGCAGCTGGTCGGGGCCCTCTCGCTCGGCGACGGAACGGCCGACTACCTGGCCGCCGTGCTGAAGAGCCACGAGGGMCCCGGGCCGACGAAGAAGTTCATCGCCCGTGATGAAGGGAAACACAGTGTTGAAGAGGGCGGAGAGGTCGAGGTGAAGTTCATCCTTATTTCTCCGGAGGTTATTGGGGCGGAGACCCCTGTGAGGCCGATTTTTGAGGAGTATCTGCCCAGGGCGCTGGAAGAGGGGCAGTTTGTGCCGAGGCCGACGCCGGAGGTTGTAGGCAGGGGACTGGACAAGATTCAGGATGCGTTGGAGGTGCTTCGGAAGGGGGTGTCGGCCAAGAGGATCGTTGTGCAACTCTAGACGGGGCTCGGGGCTGAGAGAGGCCCAGCTACTGCGGCTGGTCCTGAAGCAGAAGAAGAGCAGAAAGGCATATCTACATCAGATTCTGTCCACCAGCGTACAGGATTTGAATATACCCGTTTTGACTCTTGGTACCATGTGCTGCTGTTCTTGAAGTCTGTAATATGTAGTCGTGTACTTGGAAAGTAACCATCACTTTACATTCGAACCTTCATCTCGGCACGGGTTCTAAAATGGGAAAAGGAGGGGAATTCTACTGATTGATCTACACATCCATCTCAGTTAGGAAGGAAATGCTAGTAAATTTACATTATGCAATGCTCTACCTTTGGAGATATCATATCAGAGACAGCACTCCTGAGTGTATCAAAACAGGCATCAAAAGATCATGCAGCTATCTATGACCAATATGTTTGCCCTGTCTTTCCTGCTTCGCGGTAATCACGGCTGAAAAAGGCGCCTTCTTCTGGAACCTCTTGAGGCCGCCGCAACAGTCAGGCCAAGGTCTATACTGTTGCCTGCTTTGCTGCATTGGGTGTTTGCAGGACCTGTCCAAACCACTCGCCTGATAATTCATTTTGTATACAACAATGGCCTGCGCGGGTCATGCCATGCTATCCGGAAGTAAATTCGCGATGAGTCTTCCCAGAAATTTCCCGAAGCGGACCTGACATCAGCCGCGGGAACATTTCTGGGGCGGACTTAATATTGCCCGCCACAATGTCTCCCCTTGTAAGCCGCGATGCTTGCAGCTTGTGGTCATCGTGATTACTCCGGTAAATCGATCCTTCGTTCAGGAACATCATGCTGACAATGCCGGTATATCGCAGTCCGCATCGTTGAGTTGGCTGTAACTAAGGCTGAACCAGCCATCTCGACGCAGTGTTATATACACGGTTTGGGAACGGGACCAGCAGATGTATTGACTCGACGAATTTCATTTTCATGGTCCATGGTCTMTTCTTGTGCATAATATAGCCCCATACAAACACCCTCCAACCCCTATCGAGAGTCTGACTACCATCTACTCCATTCGATTCTCATACTCTTCACCATCACACGGAGGCATAGAACTTGACCAGGCCCAAATTATCTCGATAAAATGGACACCGACAACAGCGAGTGGGCCAGCGAGCCCATTGCCGTCATTGGCATGAGCTGCAAATTCTCTGGCGGCGCCAGCAACCCAGACAAGCTCTGGGACCTCATGGCTTCAGGGGAGACCGGCTGGAGCGAGATCCCAGAAGATCGGTATAATCTAAAAGGAGTCTACCACCCCAACCACGAAAGAACCAGCACGGTGTGTAATAAGCTTATTCATGATTGGCATACAAGCAACGTACTGACAACCACTCCCAGTCACATGTCAAGGGTGGACACTTTCTCGACGATGATGTAGCAGCCTTTGATGCAGCATTCTTCAACTATTCGGCGGAGATGGCCCAGGTAGTCGACCCGCAATTCCGGCTGCAGCTCGAGTCTACTTATGAGGCGCTCGAAAATGGTATATGTTCTCCCCTTCCTTCCTCTCGATTACATTGACTTCAACTAACTCTGATTTAGCTGGCCTACCTCTCTCACAGGTGATGGGATCACAGACGTCCGTTTTCGCTGGCGTCTTCACTCATGACTACCAAGAGGGAATAATACGAGACGAAGATAGGCTGCCACGTTTCAACGTAGTGGGAACATGGAGCCCCATGTCATCCAACCGTATCTCGCACTTTTTCGACTTCCGCGGCGCCAGTATGACTCTGGAAACGGGATGTTCGACGACGCTGGTGGCCCTGCACCAAGCGGTACACTCCTTGCGCAATCGTGAGGCCGACATGTCCGTGGTGACCGGAGCCAACGTGATGCTGAACCCAGACACATTCAAGGCAATCGGGTCACTGGGGATGCTCTCGCCCGACGGCAGGTCATACGCCTTCGATTCGCGCGCCAACGGGTACGGTCGCGGAGAGGGCGTGGCCACCATCATCATCAAGCGACTGTCAGACGCGCTGGCCGCCAACGACCCCATTCGGGCCGTAATCCGCGAGACGGCCCTGAACCAGGACGGCAAGACTGACACCATCACGACGCCATCCGGCGCCGCCCAGGTAGAGCTCATGCGGGAATGCTACCGCCGGGCTGGCCTCGACCCGCGTGGCACTCAATACTTTGAGGCCCACGGCACGGGAACTCCAACCGGTGACCCAATCGAGGCGGGAGCCATCGCCGCTGTCTTTGGCGGAGGTGAAGGACGTGACAATGAGGAGTACTACATGCGCATCGGCTCCGTTAAGACCAACGTGGGCCATACTGAGGCCGCTTCGGGTCTCGCCGCCATGATCAAAGGTGTCTTGTGCCTCGAGAAGGGGATAATTCCGCCATCGGTAAACTATGAGACGCCCAACCCGAAGCTCAAGCTCGAGGAGTGGCGTCTCAAGGTGGTGAGGACGATGGAGCAGTGGCCTGACAGTCTGGTTGATGGTCCGCGCCGCATGTCGATCAACAACTTTGGCTACGGCGGAGCGAATGCCCATGTCATTTTAGAGAGTGCCGACCCCTGGACCTTAACATCAGATCTGGATCTCAACCCCGTCAATGGCAATGGCAGTCACAGTGTGAATGGTAATGGGCATGTCAACGGCAACGGCTATACCAATGGCACCTATCACACAAGCGATACCACTGACGACGCCAAAGTGCTAATCCTCAGTGCACGCGACGAGCGGGGCTGTCGGCAAATGGTTTCAGACCTCAAGGCGTATCTGGAAAAGCACAGGTCGCTTGGACACGCGGGCTCCGAGCAGCTGCTGCGTAATCTCAGCTACACGCTGGGTGAGCGCCGGACGCTCTTCCAGTGGGTTGCGGCGCACCAGGTGCGTCTTGACAAGGACGGTACCCTCGACGCCGCCATCCAAGCCCTCGACTCGCCTCGCTTCAAGCCCGGCCGCCGAGCCTCGGATAGTCCACGCATCGGCATGATTTTCACCGGCCAGGGCGCCCAGTGGTATGCCATGGGTCGCGAGCTCCTGACGTCGTACCCTGTCTTCCGCCAGTCTATTGAAGAAGCTGAGGCGTACCTGCACGCCCTCGGGGCTGACTGGTCACTCCTCGAGGAGCTACAGCGCGACAAGAACTCGACAAGGGTTCACGACACGAAAATCAGCATTCCCGTGTGCGTGGCGCTGCAGATCGCATTGGTACGCCTGCTTGAAGCGTGGGGCATCACGCCCTCCGCGGTCGCAAGCCACTCGTCGGGCGAGATCGCAGCCGCCTTCGCCGTGGGTGCCCTCACGCATCGCCAGGCCATCGCGACGGCCTACTACCGCGCCGTACTCGTAGCAGACGAGACACTGCGCCCAGCTGGGGCTGCCAAGGGTGCTATGGCGGCGGTGGGCTTGGGTGTTGATGCAGTACAGTCCTACCTCGACCGGCTGAGCAAGGAGAACGGCAAAGCTGTTGTTGCGTGCGTCAACAGCCCTCAGAGTGTCACCATCTCCGGTGATTCTGACGCCGTTCAAGAGATTGAGGACTTGTGCAAGCAGGATGGCGTGTTCGCTCGTCGTCTCAGAGTCCAACAGGCATACCACTCACACCACATGGATCCTTTCGCTGATGCCTACCGGGAGCGCCTCCGAGTCGAAATGGCGCGGGGTGTGGTGCAAAATGGCAAGCAGTCAGCCAAGCAAGAGCTTAAGGCAGTCTTTTCGTCGGCAGTCACTGGTGGACGTATTACCAAGATTGAGAAAATCGCCAGTCCGGACCACTGGGTCGGTAGTCTGGTGCAGCCGGTCGAGTTCGTGGACGCCTTTACCGAAATGGTGCTGGGCGATCCAGATGACCCGACGGGCAGAAGTGTCGACGTATTGCTCGAGGTCGGCCCTCATACGGCGCTGGGAGGACCTATCCGTGAGATCTTATCCCTGTCCGAGTTCGAGGGCATCGAGCTCCCGTACTGGGGCTGTCTCGTGCGCGACGAACACGCAGGCGACAGTATGCGATCGGCCGCCATCAACCTGTTCCGCGAGGGGCAATCCCTGGTAATGAGCCAGATCAACTTCCTCGTGCCGGCCTATGACGACGAGAGCCCTCAGGTCTTGACGGACTTGCCATCGTATCCCTGGAACCACACTATGCGTCACTGGCAAGAGTCAAGAGTCAACCGGGCCATTCGCGAACGCAGTCAGCCACCTCACGAACTCCTTGGCATGCCCGTTGCTGGCAATGACCCCAGCACGGCCGTGTGGCGCCGTATCTTGCGCGTTACCGAAACCCCGTGGGTCCGCGATCATATGGTGCAAGGCAGTATTGTGTACCCAGGCTCGGGCTACATTTGCCACGCGATTGAGGCCGTTAGGCAGTTGGAGAAGGATGGTGCCACCGACGAAGACAAGTCCGGCAGGAGTATCTCAGGATTCCGCCTGCGCGATGTCAACTTCCTTTTCGCCCTCGTTATCCCGGACAGCGCGGACGGCGTTGAGATTCGAACCACGCTTCAGTCTGTTCCTGAGCGGGAAATTGGCGCCCGCGGCTGGCGGCGCTTTGAGGTATCGTCAGTCACGCTGGATAACCGGTGGACGCTGCACGCCAAGGGCATGATCATGGTCGAGCGGGAGGCAACTGCCCTTGAGACGGCAGAGCGCCGCCCGTTGTCTACTTACACCCGCCAACCGGATCCTCAGGACTTGTTCGCCAACCTCAGGGCACGCAGCGTCTATCATGGCCCCCTATTCCAGAACACGACCAAGATTATCCAGGATGGCCGGGAACCGCGATCCGTGTGCGACATCACCATCCGTCACGAAGCTTCGTCCGATGCAGACCCGGTGATGGCGGCAAAGAACACCTTGCTGCACCCGATCACGCTCGACGCTGTCGTCGTCGCGTTCTATTCCGTACTGCCGAGTGTCGGAGCTCTGCAGGAAGACCCCAAGCTACCGCGGTCTGTCGCATCGATGTGGATATCGAGCAACATCAGCCGCGAGATCGGTCACACGCTGCGCTGCGACACGTCACTGCTGCACGACGACGCTCAAAGCGGGATCGCTGACATCACCGTCTTCGACGGCCAGACTGATGCCACAGTGCTCAAGATCCAGGGCGTTGAGTTAGCGTCTCTGGGACGGGGCAGCGGAGCCACGGCGCGACAGGATGCGGCAAACAAGGGCGGTGCTGCCATCACCAGCAAATGGGAGCAAGAGGTGTGCAGCAAGCTCGTGTGGGGACCCGATCTGTCGCTTCGAAACCCGCTGGCTTTCGAACAGATTAAGAAGCAGCTGGTTCCCACCGACTCTGATGCCGAAGCAGACATCGCCGGAAACCTACGGCGCTTGTGCATCTACTTTGCCCATGATGCGCTTCGAGTGCTCACCTCAGAGGATGTAGCCCAACTGCAGGAGCAGCCACACTTGGCCAAGTACTATGCTTGGCTGCGTGATTTGGCCGCCAAAGCCTCCACGGAACCGGCGCTGGACGTGCCTGAGAAGCGTCAAGAATACATGGCCGCTGTGGCCTCGCAAAGCATCGATGGGGAGTTGGTCTGCCGCCTCGGGCCCCTCCTCCCGTCCATCCTCCGTGGTGAGCTCAACGTGGAAGAAGTGAGTGGGTTGCTGAATGAGTACAACGCCAACGCGATGCGTCGGTCATCGGCACTGAGACAACTCTCTTCGCTGCTGCGAAAGGTTGCACACAAGAACCCCGGTGCTCGCGTCCTCCAAATCGGTACTGGTACCGGCGCCCAGGCGACACGTCACATCCTGGAGACGCTTGGCACGCCCAAGACGCCGTTGGTGGCGACCTGGCACGTTACCGAGCCGTCCTCGGAGTCCCTGGAGGAAGCCCGTACTCAACTTGCAGACTGGGCCGATTTGCTCGAGTTCGACCAACTCGACGTCGAGCAGAGCCCATCCAAGCAGAAGTTTACCCCAGGAAGCTACGACATCGTTGTTAGTTTCCAAGTTCTACGCGCCACCAAGAACGTGACCAGTGCCGTTGCCAATGTGCGCAGCCTGCTGAAGCCAGGCGGCACGTTCCTATTTGCGGAGACGGCAAAGGACCAGGTAGATGTGGATTTCATCTTCGGCCTGCTCCCGAGCTGGTGGCAAGGCGAAGAATCCGACCGCTCAACCCTCACAGCATCCTCCTGGGATACCGTGCTTCGGGACGCTGGGTTCAGTGGAGTTGATCTTGAGATTCCTGACTCGGAGAGCGACATCGTCCATACCAACAGTATCATCATGTCCACGGTGCCATCCAACCTGGGCGAGGCTAATTACGGAGAGAGCTTTGCCGTCGTCACCAGCAGCAGGGCACCTCCACCACCGGGCTTTGTCGATCTGCTATCCCGGCGCATCCAGGCCTTGACCGGTACCGATATTCTCGCCCCCGAGCACCTCGTGCTCGAGCAGAGCAGCTTCGACACCTACAAGGGCAAGATCTGTGTTTTTGTGGGCGAGATTGACGAACCCATTCTGGCCGATCTCGACGGAGTGCGTATGGAAGGCCTACGCGCCATGGTCACGCAATGCAGCGGCCTGCTCTGGGTCACGACCGGCGGTACCGTGGACAGCGAGGTACCCGAGCGGGCCGTTCACCAGGGCTTCTTGCGTGTGCTGCGCAACGAGTACATCAGCCGTCGCTTCCTCTCCCTGGACCTCGACCCTGCACATGCAGCCGAGAGATGGTCCTCGGGCGGAGAGGTGGTCGTCTCGGCTATCGTGCAGGTACTCGAGGAGGGATTCGGCCGTGCCGACACCGAGGCTGGTCCGGCCGAGTTCGAGTACGCCGAGCGTGACGGTGTCCTGCATGTTCCCCGGTACTACAAAGACGAGCAATACAATGACATGGTCACTGGCCCGCTTGTGCCGAGCTGGAGTGAGGTACTACCAGCAGCCAAGGACGAGAAGGGAAGTATCGATGCTATTGCCAGCATTCCCTTGGAGCCCCTATTCAAGGAGGACCGGCCACTGCGGCTGGAAGTGGGCATCCCGGGACACTTGGACACATTAGCTTTCATTGACGATAAGGAAAGCCAGGAGGCGTTGACACCTGAGCTCGTCGAGATTACCCCTCGGGCCTACGGAGTTTGCTCGCGCGACGTCATGGCCGCTATGGGCCAACTCAAGGATCGTTCCATGGGTCTCGAATGCGCAGGTATCATCACGCGCGTCGGTGCTGAGGCTCAGGCAAAGGGCTACAATGTCGGCGACCGTGTCATGGCGCTTTTGACTGGTGCATCTTTTGCCAGCCGTGCCCGTGTTCCGTGGCAAGGCGTCATCCAGATACCGAGCGACATGGAATTTGTGAATGCCGCGTCGCTTCCCCTGGCTTTTAGTGTTGCGTACGCCGGCCTCGTCGATACTGCGCGCCTGACGGCTGGGCAGTCGGTGCTCATCCACGCCGCGGCTGGGGCCATTGGTCAGGCCGCCATCATGCTGGCGAAGCACCTCGGCGTAACTGAGATCTACGCTACGGCCGGGTCGCAGGAGAAACGAGACCTTCTCCAGCGCGAGTACGGCATCCCTGCCGAGCGCATCTTCACCAGCCGCGACGCGTCTTTTGCCCCAGCGGTTCTGGCCGCCACGAAGGGACGCGGCGTCGACGTGGTGCTCAACTCGCTGTCAGGCCCGCTACTACAGGCCAGCCTGAGCGCAATCGCGCCTCTTGGCTACCTGATCGAAATCGGCAAGGCGGACATCGAGAGCAACAGCCTGGTGGCGCTAGAGTCCTTCTCTCGCGGCATCTCGTTTATCTCATTGGATGTCCCGACCCTCCTGCACCGCCGCGGACGCGATGTCCACCGCGCGCTTGATGAGATCGTCCGCCTAATCGAACAACAGGCGGTGAAGCCGGTTCACCCCGTCGCTGTTTACCCCATGCAGGATGCCCAGGCGGCTTTCCGCTTCGTGCAGACAGGTGCACAGACGGGTAAGGTTGTGCTCTCGGCTGGACCAGACGAACAGGTCCACGTGGTCCCTCGGCCGAAGGGGGTCACTGCTCCAGCCCGACTGCGGCCTGATGCGTCATACCTCATCGTGGGTGGTGTGGGCGGTATCGGACGTTCAGTCGCGCACTGGCTGGTAGCTCACGGTGCGAAGCACCTGATTCTACTTTCTCGTAGCGCCGGCGATCTCGATCTAGACAAGAACAAGAACACTGACGGCGCGCTATTCGTCCGCGAACTGCGGGAGATGGGGTGTCGAGTGAAGCCCGTCAGCTGCGACGTTGCCCTCGCCAGCTCACTGACCATGGCTCTCAGGGCCTGCGAAGACGACGGCTTCCCGCCAGTGCGCGGCATCATCCAGGGCGCCATGTTACTGCGCGACGCTATCTTCGAGCGTATGACTCTCAACGAGTGGCGCGACGGCCTACGACCCAAGCTGTACGGCACCTGGAACCTGCACACCGAGTTCTCGCAACCAGACTCACTCGACTTCTTCGTCATGCTATCGTCCGTCTCCGGCGTGGTCGGCATCGCATCCCAAGCCAACTACGCCGCCGGCGGCTCCTACGAAGACGCCGTGGCTCGCTGGCGCCAATCTCGAGGCCTGCCCGGCGTGGCGATCGACCTCGGTCCCATCTCCGACATAGGCTACGTCTCGACCTCGGCCAAAGTTGCCGACCGCCTGCGCAAGGACGGCGACTTCGCCATGCTCGACGAGGACATCGTGCTCCGCGCGCTCAAGGCCGCCGTCCTGCACCCGCTCGGCGCCCGCTCCCAGGTCATCGTCGGCCTCAACTCCGCCGCGGGCCCGCAGTGGGACGCCAACGGCCGCTCGCAGCTGGGCCGCGACGCGCGCTTTGCACCTCTGCGCCCGCGCACCAAAGCCTCAGCGCGACAAGCCGATGGCGAGAGCACCGGCGCCTCGCTCGCCTCGCAGCTTGCTGACGCGAGCGACCGCCAGGAAGGAGCGAAGCTCATCGGCGCCGCTATTGCAGCTAAGCTGGCGGATATTTTCATGACGCCCGTCGCGGAGATCGACCTCAGCAAGCCCCCGGCGCACTATGGCGTCGACTCGCTGATTGCGGTGGAGTTGAGGAATATGCTCGTCTTGCAGGCCGCGGCGGACATTTCCATCTTTAATATTTTGCAGACAGCGAGCCTTGCTGCGCTGGCGGGGTTGGTGGCCGAGAAGAGCCGGCATTTGCAGAGTGCTTAGAGAGAGGAGTGTGGTTGTGGTTGGGTACGGGGATGGACTTGACTTCATGCTGGGTTGAGATATTTTGTTTTCTTTGTTCTATCAGATTGACACTGGGTTTAACAGATGCTTTTCGTGGATTTTATCGTTGTGTTTTGATTTGTATAGACTACACTACTACAGTATATAGACCGTTTGAACACTTTATGCAGCAATACAAGCCTCTTTTCCAAATAGTTGCACTACATTCCAAACCTCTCTGGTATGAGGCAATATGCTAATGTTGGCTTTGTCCGAAGACTGACTTGGAGCGTTGTCTTGGGACTGGACTGTCCGCACCGGAGCCCTCCTTTGCCTAAGTAGCTTGCCAGGTACCTTTATTTGCAGACAGAGAGTAAAAGGGGCCAGTCGTCGGTGCCTGGTTCCTCACAGAAGAAGGGAAAATCAGCTCAACCTGGACCAGAAGCGGGCGGACTATCAAAGAGGAGGCCGGGGAAGAGAGGCTCCCGAAGGTGCGGTGGAGCGCGGGAGGTGATGGAGAGGGTTGTGGTGCCTGCACCAGGGGTAGGTGAGAGGGCTGGAAACAATGTTGAAAACAATGTTGATTCCAGGCCACTCCTTGGGAGATTACTTGGTGTCGAGGTAATTGCTTTATGGCTTCTTCGCCTACAAGACATTCTTTCATCAAAGCTTTTCGATCTTGGGCTGTGCACGATTAGAATAGAGTCAAGTTAAGCGACGGTTTCGTCAAGAGTACGAATGCGAACCTTAGCAAGCTTTAACCGACAATTGACAACGAAGGGCATAGAACCAACTCCGACGGGGAACCTATGGAATGAGCCTCTGGCACAGTGTGAGTCTTCTATATTCCGGGTTTGTTCTGTCTATAAATATATATATATGAACGAATATGTTGAACATCAAGTACAGTTCCCATATCCAAAACTCCACAAATTGCCCGCAGGGGCATATGCCAACACCACGTAAAGTAACGCCTCTTTCATATGTCGTCATGGAAATATATATCTAGATGCGACCCCAAATCTAGGGGAGGGAAGACCAGTTGTCGCTCTGGGGTTCTAAGAGTTGCAGGAAGTTTTGTGCAAGCTTGTTGAGGCCGGTCGAGGCTTGCAAAGTCGTTACGATGCTGGGCATGAGCTTGAGGTAGGCGTCGTTTAGCCCGGGGTGGGATTGGGAGAATCGGGCGCCTAGGAGGAGCAGGATCGGTGTTAAGGGGTGCATCTGCTAGATGGTTAGCAATTCGACTTTTACCCTATAAGAAAGGGGGAACTTTACCTGAAAGTGCTGGCCAAGTACGGAGACCAGGAGAGCCATATCGGCCACGGCATCCAGTGACTGCTGCTTTTGCTCCGTATAGAGAGCTTGAGTGAGCTGCGTTCCTTGTGCATCGGTACCGAGGGGCCTGGATTCGATAAGGTCGTAGAGCATCAGCACGGCTATATGTGCCGCCAGAGCAACAAAGGCGATGATGGGATCCGGGTACTCCAATGACGCATATATTCGCAGCATCCTGATGCGTTGCGCCAGCAGTGCATTAAGGGACCGATGTCGACGGCAGAACTCTTGACAGGGTCTGCTCGGAGGTTTCTGTTTATGTTCTAGGACCCGTCCACAGATGGTAGCTCCGATGATGCTCTCTGTAAAGGGCGACAGGTTATTGTGGGGCCACTCGAGGTCGACGACCGGAATCATATCCGCGAGAAAACCCATGTCCGTGGGCCGACTACTTGCGAAGTTCGCCTCGGGAGCCGGGAGGCGGGTACGGATCTGGCAGTAAGTAAATATATTGTCCTTCGCACGAAAGATTGCTTTAGGCCAACTCACCAGCCGTTCATCGAAGAACATGTGCAGCCCATCAACCATACTCGTGAAGCGGTCGACTGTATATGCAAGCCAGAAGGTCCGCCTTTTCGTTTCAATATCGATCCAGTCGTCTTGGACGGACCCTTGAAGAGTGAGTTGCCCTTGATACTGTTCCAGCTGCATGGTGGGAGGTGTTTGGGGTACATCCAGTTCGTACAACCTCATCATCTGGATCAAGCGAAAGGCCCTCCCGGCAGACATCATGCCTCGGTGGAAATCTTGGCATGTTAGTTCATAGATCGCAAGCAAGATCCACGCCTGGGCCTGCTCGAGGGATATTTGGTGACAAGGTTCCTCTGACTCGAGCGCATGCAGAAGTTGTCTTGTCTTCGTGTATAATTTCCGGCCCTCGACTTGGAACTGGCTGGAGAGTGATGAGGCCAAGGTCCACATCGCATGCTGTAGGCAAGTTTTCTGCCTGCTCTTGTTTGGTTGTTTAGACCAAGAACGGTAGCGGTGCTTTTGCAATATTGGCGCAAATGCGTAAGCCCGATCGAAGTAAAGCTGGTCTCTATCAGAAGTATTAGCATAGCTGGTCCGTAAATCAGCCTCCAGCGTCAAGACTTACAGGTCGTTGTGCATCATGGGAGTGATCAGGAGATCGGGTTCCATTGTAATCTGGACCAGCTCCTGAAGATTGTCCAGTGAGGGAAATGAGKGAAGTGAGGGAAAGGGCGAGCCTGTGTTCGAATTGTCGAAACACCCCCAGGGCTCCACGTGGATCAGGGGATATTGGAATTCCATCGGTGCCGGCCATAGCGGGATATTACCCGGTGTTTCGGGCGTTGTGCTGAGGGTATGCTGAATTTCATTATTGTCTGTACTGCTCCCACTGCTCCCACCGCTCGGACATTCGTTGTCCATGTTGTCCCCCTCTTGGGAGGGCGAGCAGGCTCGTGTCTCAGCAGGAGTACTCGATGCCCCTTGTTGTTTTTCTAGCTGAGTCTGGAGCTCCTCTGGCGCAGCACAACTTCATCAGCCTAAGAGCCAGGGTGGACAGGCGGAGAATGATTGCAAGCAGCCCTTACCAATTCTTTTCTGTAGCGTCTTGAGATATCCCTTCCTTGGCCCCCTAGGCGGGCAGCTGTCTCGCACTACGCAAGTGACCCCGGAAGTGGCACACGCCATACATTGGGGTTTTGCCCTGTCGCAGCGGATCCTTTTTCGTCGACATTCTTCGCACTTGTCATCACGGTGTCAGCGCCAAGAGTCTTGGAATGGGCGAAGATGACCACCTACGGCGAGTCCCGGTTGTTGTCGCTGTGGTTGCCCCGCCATAGCTGCTCAGAGCAGACTATGCTCTGTAATCGACCGAGTAGACTATGGTAGTCGTCTTTTTGTTGCAGAACGTTGATACGCCGAGCGAGGAATTTGAATGATATCAAGGAGAGAGCGTCCGACGTTGAGCGTATCCTTTTGTAAGCCCTTGAAGTATAGCTGTCCTTGCAATTATGTCGATAGAAGTAGAGTCCGAATGGACAAGATAGTCTTCTCTTTGTGAGGGCAGAAAAGTAGAAACGGCCGTGGCAATTGAAATAAATCACGTCAAACAGCAGCTCCGGAGCATCTATCATACACCTCCTGAACAAACTATATGTTTGTCAGCATCAGGATCTTCCTATATACTCCAGGCACAATCAGACGTACGCAAAGCAGACGATCGGCGTGAGGCTAAAATAGCGTTGTTGTCGGAGAAAAGCAACCGGAGAGGCTAAGAAAATCCCTGAGCGTAAGCGATCGACTCGTCCTGCAGTTGAATAGAGAACAGGAAGCTTGGAATTTATCACGGTCTCGAGTTCCTAGCTCCGATGATTTCTTTGCCGCAGTTTCCGTTCTTGCCAGCAGCGCTTCCGACTTCGTATTGCGATGACATGCGTCACGCCATTGAGGGCGTCAGACTCAGGTTGGTTGTAGGCAGCATCCGACTAAAGTTGTTAGTGTCCTGTAAGCCGGCGAATCATGGCTGCCAATTAGAGCAAGGATCTGGATCCCTCCTCGTTCTCATTTGCACCCGACTGAGCGCCTTGTCGTTGCTGACTACACTGAAGAAGTCTGCATAACCATACAAGCTTTATCAGAAAATTTGCAGCAACTGATGCAGAAATGACTGTTGGTTATGCCCCCACATCGGATTACTTGCAAAGTACAAGGGGGAAGAGAGGGCCATGTTGGCCAGAGACTCAGCCCCGGCTAAAACTCTATTGCCGGAACATCTACTTTCATTTGGTTGTTACATAACCCATCAACTTACTGCATCAGTATGTCTGTTTGTATACCAAGGCTTCAAGTGTCGATGCTGGGATAATGAAATTTTCAGCTCCTCGTGTCGGTACCATGAGCCATAGAGTCCAGGTAAAAAACGGGTGAGGGGGTGATTGCGGTGAGATGAGGCTGACTATTCCCACACTCCTGAAACGCTCAATGTATGGGCAGCTATACAGCTGAAAGAGCGTTTACCAACGGAGTTAGACGAGCAGGTGAGTTTAGTCAGATAGGAAATAAAAAGCGAAGTCCCCGAGATTAGCCTTTCTCAGGCCCTGAGTGGCGCAAGCGTATCAGCGCAGAGCCCTCGCAAGGTGCTCGCTCGAAGTATACCACCCCTGGCAGGTCTAGGTACTTTAGGCGTCCTAGTGGAAACCGAGATAGGGCGGAGCGCGGTGGTTGGTCCCGGATCAATAGCGAAAATGCCTCACCTTCAACGACTAGACCAGGGTGAAGGGGGCCAAAAGTGATAAAAGGTCATTTATTGGACGGAGAGAGGGAGCGAGAAGGCTATATACTACTACGCACATGGGCCCAGAGAGAGCGCGACCGATGGTGCTAAATCGGAAGGGCCAAAAGCTAAGCCGGCTCAAGCTCCCACCGTTGCCGTCCGATATAGTACGTGGTATCTGGTCGTCGCTGACTCGGACGTGTACTCCATACGCTCCACCGCCCACGCTGCGCCCTCGAAGCGGAGATCCTGTCGCCTGCACGTGTACACTAGGTGGTTCCCGACCGAATGGAACATCGCGTGGGCTGAAATGGGCAGCGTTGCGGTTGCACGGAGTAGCCGTTGATGTTGCACGACATAGAGGGCCAAAGCCACTCCAGCAACTTCAGGGACCAAACGATTCTACGGTGGTGGCTTGTGGCCA